GTACAAAAGATATCAGGGTAGAAAAAATAGGCTGGGCTGGTCATGTAGTGAAGATAAGAGATGACAGGTAAACAGTCAGAGTGCTCCTTTGGTTTCCAGGAGATGTCAGGAAAAAGCAAAGAAGGCCTCCAGCACATTGGGTGGCTTCCTCTCTAGTGAACTTAGGAGAAGATGCGGGCAAGAATTGCACAGGATTGGCAAAGCATGGGTAGGTTGGGATCTGTGTTGTTGGAGGAAGCATCCATGCCATTAAATCACAGATCCATTTGAGTATGTCTCAATAAACATTATTTCTTCTCTCTCAAAGTTTTAATATTGTTATTAGTTTACATGACTGTATATGTTATACTTTTGACATAAACTGTTAGTTTAACACTGATTTTGAGTATATGTTCACTGCCTTATTTGAATATAGCCAAATTATACACTTCCCTTCCCTTCCAAAAAAAAGCAGCATCATAAGTTGGTACTCCAGTGCTGTTTAAAGAAGTCATGGTCCACCACACATTAATGTTACCAAATTTCATCTGGTTGGATACTTGTGCTGGAGTTGTCCTGATTAGTCCCTAGGGACTCTTAAGGGTTATTTACCAAAACAAAATGAGATACTCTTAAGTCATTAAACAGTTAACAAAAAAATGTATTTAGCCTTAAGCTAGAGGCTACTCTGTGAGGATAAGCTTTGAGGACACCTGGAGTTTTTTGCCTGAGGAAAGTTCCCTTGCCTCCGTTATTCATTGTGATTCTCCAGCCTAGCCTCTGACTAGTCAACAGTCTGAGCCTTTAGTCCTCTGAGTCAACCAAGTCTTTTTTTTTTAACTTTTATTTTTTTAAGTTTATTTTCATTTTTTTAAGTATCAAAGAACCAAATTAACGTGAGCTATTATTATTAGCTAGAGTTTTCAGAGAAGGTGGTGAAGGGCCTAGAGATCATGCCATGTGAGAATTTATTGAAAGAACTGGAACTGTTTAGTTTAAGAGATATATTAACTGTATTCAAGTATTTGAAGGGTTGTCATGTGGAAGAGTGATTAGATTTGTTCTGCTTTTCTCCATGAGACAGAATTAGGAGTAATTGGCAAAAGGTAGAGAGAGGCAAATTTCTGGTTGATACAAGGGGAAAAAAAAACTACCAGACTTCTCACCTGGACTGTTGCCATAGCATCCTAATTGGACTTCTGCTTTCTAGTCTCTCTCCTCCCCAAAGCATCCTCTGTACTGCTGCCGAGAAAATCTTCCAAAAGTCTGATTTCGTCATCCGTCTACTCAAGAAACTTCAGTTGTCTTATGAATAAAATACAAACTCATCAGCTTGTCAATTAAAACCTTTCACAATTAGACTTTATTGCATATTACTCCCTATCATGTGCTTTCAACCTTGACTGTTGTTCCTATAATTGGCACTCCTTCTTTTACCCCTTGTGCCTTTGCTGTTGCTCATTCCTGAAATGCACTCCTGAGTCACCTTCACAATTTCTAATCCTTAGTTTTCTTTAGTTTTATTTCCTAAGCTTTGCCTGATTCTGACAGTTGTTAGTGTTCTTCCCCCCCCATTATCATCTGTATGTGTTTTCCCTCCAATAGAATGTAAGCTTCTTGAGGGTAGAGACTGTTAGGTTTGTTTTTGTCTTCTACTGGTACCTAACACACAGTAGGTGTTTAATAAACGGATGTTTGTTGAATTGGATTGGAAACTTCTTGACCATTAGAGTGTACTTTGAGAAGTATTGGTTTCCTTGTAAAATTGACGACAGTTTTAAATCTGATAAATTATTCTTTCTGAAATTTTTAAGCAGACACTGGATGACCACTTACTGAGTTATATTGTAGCGAAGGGACTCTTGTTCTGCCGTTATGGCTAGAATAAATGGTTTTTGAGGCCTTTGAAGCTATTTCTACTTTAGAGAATCTGTGATTTCTTTATGTGAACTGCTTTCTAAACTAAGTTTTATGGATACCAACTATTACTCTTTCACTCACATGTACATTGCTTTATTCACTAGGTTGTCTAAAAATTACTGCTTTGAATAATTTTATCCAATTTGTGAACAGCAAAGTTTTACTGAGGATTCAGTGAAAGTACTCTTCATAAAAATTTCTAATTCAGCCTGACCTAAATTGGTCGCATAAACTGCTTTTTAAATTCATCAGCTAAAGTTTATGTAACTTTCTTTCCTATCATAAGACAAGAGTACTTTGAGGGAAGACTTTTGACTTAAAACATTTTTCATGTTTTCTTTAAAAAACGAATCAGGTTCGCATTTACAGGTGTAGCACTTTTTAGTCCAAGACATCTCCTTAGGATACAGAAACAGTATATACGGTTTTCCCTTCCACATCTTGGGTGATGTGGTGCCCCATAATCTGGAAAATCCATGTAAAATTTTTTGGCCCTCCCTTCATAAGAGAAGTAGTCTGAATTTTTTTCTTTTGTGGGGTGTGTACAGTACATTACTGTAAAATTTGGGTTAGGTATTTGGTCATAGGCTCTGTGTTGTCTGCTGGTTTCTGCAAAACACCCCCCAAATTCCCACTTAATTTTTTATGCCTATCTGTGATATATTGAAACTACAGTGGGGAAAGTTGCAATGTGGAAGGAATAAGAGTAAAAGTGAGAATGGCTAATAATTAGCTTATACCAACAGCCAGGTTAGATACAGATGTAGAAAGAGCATTAACACCAAAGAGAGAGACTCATTCAACCTGTGGCCAGATTTATTTATAATGCTTCCATAAAAATGGGAAACATGGGGTACTCACATAGTTACAACTTAGGTTTTTATGTGTTTTATAGAAATTGCATGTTTCACTATGCAGTGCTATGCTATTATATTATGGCTTATTGACACATACCTCTTTGTTTATGTGTAGTGTTATGTGTGTGTTATTCTACATATCTATTACTAGTGTTGCATTGCTTTTTATTTCTATTTCTGATCATTTGCTTTGGTTGCTGATTGTGATTGTGTATATATTATTATGTGTATCTGTGTTGTTTAAATAATTTAGACATTTAATAATTGAAGTAGCTTGTCAAATGGTGCTTTGCAGTGTGATAGATGTAGTGCATAGAGTATTAATATGAATTTGGTGTGTGCTTTTTTTTCTTTAGAGATTGCAAAGTTTTTGGCTGCAAGGAGAAATATAATCTTAGCTTCAATAGACTCTCAGAGAGACTTCAGAAATTATTATGTTTTTTATTTAAGAGAGAGAAGAATCTTGGAAAAAGAGTTAATCGTCATCTTGAGAGAGTTAACTATCTACTTTGAGTAGTCTGTGAGAGAACAGAGAAGACTAGGAGAAAATCTTTCTTGAGAGTTGAATAGTTAAATGTGAGAGAGAACTAATCTGTGAGAGATTATGAGACTTAAGTGTAATTTTTGAGACACAATTTAGTAGAACTGAATTTAACTTTTATTCTGTGGAGAAGACATCCTGAGAGGCTAAATTCCCATACTGAGAGAACTGAATTGTTGGACTGTGGTTCTTGTGTGAGGAAACAAGTTGCTGCCATAGTTAGAGGTGAAGGTGACTTTTGCTTATGTAGATAGAGATTTCTATGTATCTTTATTATCTATTGATAATTTAGCTAACAATATTTATCTACATATATTTATAGACAAATTTATCTTTATTATCTGTTTATTAATGATGTAACTAGTAACATTGATGTTTGTCTAAGCCTATATGAGACTGGGGTTTGAGATTGTGTGAGTAGGGTGAATAGAGGAAAGAGAAAACCTCTGGGAAAAGAGGTTTCTCCAGTTTTTACAAACTGGGGTGGGAGGGGTTCAATGGTAATTAATTTTATGAGAGAGTTATTACAGTTATTACAATTTATGAGGAAATATCAGAACATAACTCTTGATTGCTTATGAACCCAGTGTGAGAGAATTAATAAGCTAATGAACCAAGTATTAGGCTGAGGGGGAGAGAGGTTTGATGTCTTTGTCCCTGAGAGCACCTGAGGGGTGTCACTCAACACTTTACAACATCAAGATACCCATCACATTGACTGCTACATGTGGGTTAACAAAAACTCTGTTACATGTAGAGTAAAGCTTGGATACACAAGTATAGTTACTGTTTTGCTATGAATGCAGTTATCAATAGCAAACAGGAAGATGTGAATAGTGACATTTTCAGAGAGCTACTTGTTCAAATCCAGTACAACTTATACCTGGACATTATTAAATCATTTTTTTCCTACCTATATAATGTTGGCAGCTTGTAAAATATGTACATATTTCTTCACTACTTAAAAAGACCCATGATGGTATGGGTGTCCCTATATTGAGACAGATTGGAACTCCTCCATGATTGAATTGATTGTTTTATAAATTTCTGTGGGCAGAAAACCAATAATAATTACCTGAGATAAAGATTCCATACTTATCCTCAGATAACAGACAACAGTCTGATGCTTGGCCTGTACTTGAAAGTTTTCCACCTTGGTAGGACCTTCCAGACTCTGCGGCCAAGAACCTAGGTTGGTTACTTCCCTACTGTGATGAAGTATCAGGGGAGAACTTAGGTGGAAGATATATACATACTCTTGTATATCTGCACGTGTTTCATTAGGTAATGTCCAGGGAGGCAGCATAATGTTATGAGAAAAACCCTCTGGATTTCGAGTGAAAGGACCTGGGTTTGAATTACAGTTTTGCTGTGGGACCCTCCAGCAAGTCATTCAATCTTTCTGAGTTTCAGTTTCTTCATATAAAAATGAAGAGGTTGGGCCAGATGGATCAATAAGGTCCTTTCCAGCCCTATATCATTTGAACAAAATTGATTCGAACTTTAAACCTATGTGGACTTTAAAATCTTCATAGTTCAAAAAGACTTTAGTTATAATATCTTTGTAGTGCTTATTTAGAAGTGACATTATTATGGTCTTAATGCTGAATGTTGGATTTAAGGTCATGAGAGCTGTGTTGCAGCAGTTTAGAAAAGAACATAACTTTGTATTTATTCCTTTTTTAAAATTTTCTGTGTTTAAGGAACTAGAAGCCATTCGTGTCAAGGTAAAATCCGGAGAAAGGCCAATGCCACCTCTTGCAGCAATCCAGCCCAAAACAATAACTTTGAGTCAACCATTGAATGGGAATACAGATTTGTTAGGATTAAGCGTTGTTAATCCTCCGATTATTCGGATACAGCCTCTTATGAGAAGTGAACCACAGGATTTGACAAATACTTCACCTCCACCTCCTCTTCAACTTCTTGTGCAGAGACCACTACCTCCTCTTGGACCAGTTTCTGTGGAGAAGTTTATGGCACATAAAATGCTGAATGGACAAAGGGCTACATTTGTTCCTTTGTCTGCTTCTAACACGTCAAAAATTACATCATCGGCAGTTATGTCCAGTTCAGCAGATTTGCTTATTTCCACCCCTGAGAGTGAGTGCACTGAAAAGTTAAAAAAATCTTTAAAAGTGAAAACCCGATCAGGGAGAATTTCACGGCCACCAAAATATAAAGCTAAAGATTACAAGTTCATCAAAACTGAGGATTTAGCTGATGGGCACCAGTCAGATTCAGATGACTATTCAGAACTTAACGTGGAAGAAGAAGATGACAAAAGGGGGAAAGATACATTATTTAATTCTTCAAGTGATTACCTGAAGCCTAAAACTTTTAAGTGTCAGACTTGTGAAAAGTCATATATAGGACAAGGAGGACTAGCACGACATTATAAACTTAATCCAGGTCATGGGCGGCTGGAACCTAAAATATTGGTATCTGATAAGTCTGATGGAAGTGGAGAAGCAGGAGGTGGCACTGTGAATATAATGGCTCCTGTGCCATCAATCCCAACTGCTTTAAATAGTGAAGGTACACTAGCTTCGTGCGTGGCAGGACCAGATTCAGCATGGAATGGGCAACAGGTAACACTTTTTTTTTCTTGAATTTCTTATTTCCTGTTTCTTTCTGTGTCACTGACTTTAAACTGGAACCTCTCCTTGAGATTGATGAGTAACCATTGTTGTATATTGTAAATGTTAAATTGAGGTCTAAAGTCTACTCCCATTTTTATCCCTAAACACCTTCCCCCCACCCGGGGTCATTATATGCTGAAACTTTAGATGCTGGATGACCTTTAAAAGGGCAGTTAATATAACTCTCTTTGTCTAAACATGCACACATACAAGTCTGTTGTCATTCTTTTTCTCTAACTAGATCTGTTAAACAAATATTTAGGCCACCATAAATTGCTGTGCTGCAACCGAGCTACCATAAATTGCTATGTTGCTATCTAACCACCATAAATTGCTGTATTGTAATCTACTGCATGATAAATTCCATGCGTTTTTCCTAAGGAGGCAGATCCCAAATTCAAACTGACTATATTTTGAAGAGAAAAGCCATTCTCTCCTGGAACTGTGAGGACAACAGATTTAAGAGATATGTCATCCCCAGGTGATGGGGAATCATGGTGTCTAGGGGTAGGTCTGGGAAAACCTTTTGGATAAATTAAGAACTAAGGCAGTATATACTTTATCTGTACTTCTGAGTATTTTACCTTGATATATTCTGAATTTGTATGTTTTCTTTTACCCTTGAAATAGGGAAAAGGAATAAACCTGTAATGTTATTGGTACAGAAAATTCTTGGATGAAGAAACTCTCTATCCATGGTGTTTGGCACTTTTCTTTCTACAATTTATAGTCTCAGGGCATTGCTTAGAGCACTGAGAAATTAAATGACTTGCCCAGGGTTAAATAGCCAGTATCTGATTGAGATGGGAATTGAACCAAGCTGGCTCAGAGGCCAGCTCTATTTCCATTATAACACACTGCTCTTAACTTGCAGATAAAACCCAGAAAACATAATCATGTGGTTTGGATTGTGTGGAGATGGTGGGAGTGAAGAAAAGGAAAAGGGAACTGGTCAGCTTTTCCCCTGTCATACATCTCTATAATGATATCCTTTATACTGCTTAACTTATGCAGTAGTAATTGGTAATGTGTTGTCATGCTCTTTAACATTGCTCTTTGGGTGACTCACAGCTTTAATGCCAAAGACTGGTGTTCCATGATTTGATGCCATGTAGCACCACTTGAATATTACTATTAAAGAGTTGGATCTTTGTTTCAGGCAGAAGTTTAGGGTCATTAAAAGCAGTGTACAGTTTTCCAAAGGTAATTCAGCCAGCTCTCTTACTCTGTTCAGTTAATTTTGTTGATACTTTTTCCTTTCTTGATATCATTATTATTATCCACCTCCTTTCTCTACAGTTAATCCCCCCCAAAAAAAACCATCTTTTGTAAGTGTAGTAAAGGAAAACAAACCACACATTGATAATGTCTGAAAATATGTCATTCTGTACTTCTTGTCCATCAGTATCCATTGCTATCAGCAGATGAGAAACATGCTTCCTGGGATTGTGATTGCTTATTGTGTTAATTATAACTTTTAAGGTTTTTTGGCTAGGTAATAGGGTTAAGTGACTTGCCCAGGGTCACAAGCTAGTGTCAAGTGTCTGAGGCTGGATTTGTACTCAGGTCCTCCTGACTCCAGGGCTGGTGCTTTATCCACTCTGCCACCTAGCCTGCCCCAAGTCTTTTTTTAAGTAAATATTTAAGTTATGAACTTTATAGTTACCAACAAACATGAACATTCCATATTCAAAGGACAGAAAAGGAGGATTGTCTGTGAAACCATGAATCTACCGAGTATAGCTTTTATTTTAAAAATATCTATCAACTTTGACATGATAGCATTAATACTATCTTTCTTTGTATCCTTCTGAATTTCTTTCTGCTCTCTTCTGTGTATTTTTATGTATTTCATTGACGCTTTTCTTTGGATCACTATGACTGCACCCACCTTTACCCACATGCTCTCCATTTCCCCATTAAAAGCCCTTTCTTGTAGCAAATAAATATAATCGATGAAAACAAATTTGTGTCATATCAATTGTGTCAAAAAACAAATATCTCATTTTATACCTACAGTCTAGGCAATCATGCCTCCACCAAGAAGTGGGAAGCATGTTTCATCTTCAGGCTGTTGAAATCATGATTACTTGTTGAATTGATCTTAAATTCTTAAATGTTTCACAGTTCTTTTCCTTTATAGCATTGTAGTTGAATACATTGTTCCCCTGGTTCTGTTTGTTTCATAACATGTCAGTTCACAAAGTTCTCCCAGATCCTTCTAAATCTGTTACTAATTTTTTTCTGTCTTTCTTTGATGTCTTTGAGGCGTTGTAGTGGAATTGATGGGTATGTACATTTTAGTGATATTCATTCCAAAGAATGTTTAGACCAATTCATAGCTTCACCAGCAGTGCATTTCTTTGACTTCTTTATTTGTTAAAGGTGTCTAATTTTTGAAAGGGTTACATTGAGGTCACCAGCTGTTGTAGTTTTACTATTTATGATTTGATTAATTTTTCATATTATATATATGTATGTATAATGTCCCTGTTAGTGTAAATAATTCCGTGAAGTGGTTGCCTGTATTTGAATTTGCAGTTTGAAGTTAATGATTTTGTAAAATATAGTAGCTGGTTCTGGCCTAATGGAAATAAGCAGTGTGATTTGAAAAATGTGACCACTACAGGAAATTGATTATTCCCACTATTTGGGGCCTAGGTGTATATGCAGTTTGGTGCATATATATTAAGTATTGATTTGACATCATTTTTATGATCCCTTTTAGTATAGTATAGTTTCCTTGTTTATCTCTTTTAACTATGTCTATTTTTATTGTTGCCTTGGTTGAGGTTGATTGCTACCTTTACTTTTTTTAGTTGGACTAAAGTATAATAAATTCAGTTTCAGCCCCTTTGTGGATCTTTGGTTCAAGTATATTTCCTGTAAGTGTTATATTTTTGTATTCTCTTAACCTCTGTGAGTTTATAGGTAGATCATTCCATGCAGAGTTATGACTATTAATTGTGAATTTCCTCCAACATGTATCCTCTTATACTTTTTCCTTTATTTGCCATTCTTCTTTATGAAGGTAGTGAGATCAGTTGAAATGATCAGCTTTGACCATGTAGTTGCCTTCCACCCCCCAGCCCCCCGGTTATTCTTATTTATCATTTCTGGGACCATTGTTATATCTTTGCTGATGATTCTCAAGTCTTCCTATTCTGTCCTAAAATCTGATGACCTCCACTCTTGTACCTGGAAATTGCCTTTCAGAAATCTCAGATTGTGTGTCCAGTAGACATTATAAACTTAATATGTCCAAAACAGAATTCATTACCTTTCCCCATAAACCCTCCTTCTATCCTACTTCCCTGTTACTGTTGAGGACAACACCATCCTCTCAGTCTCTCAGGCTTACAGCCTAGGAGTCATCCTCAGCTCCTCACTTTTTCTTACCCCACATCTCAAGGCTTGTCAGTTTTACCTTTGCAACCTCTCATATGCCCCCTTTTCTCCTCTGACATTGCTACTACCTAGCTATTGGCCTTTATCTGTCATCTCATGCCTGAATTATTGCAATAGCCTGCCTCAAGTCTCCCCCCACTCTAATCCATTCTCCATCTGCTAAAGTGATTTTTCTACAATGCAGGTCCGACCATCTCCCCCTTGTACTCATTAAACTCTGTGGCTCCCTACTGTGTCAAGATCAAATACCAGATGCTCTGTTAAGCATTTAAAACCTTTCATGACCTAGTTCTCTCTTACTTTTCCACTCTTCATATGCCTTACTTCCCTACACATACTCTTCTATCCAGTGACACTGGCCTTCTTATTATTCTACGAACAAGAGTCTCCCATCTCTCAGCTCTGGGCATTTTTTCAGGCTGTGCCCCATGCCTGGAATGTTCTCCCTCCTCCATTTCACCTACTGACCACCCTGGCTTCTTTTTAGTCCCAAGTAAAATCCCATCTTTTGCTGGGAGCCTACCTTAACTTCCCTTGATTCTAGTGCCTTCCTTCTGTTATTTTCTTTTTATCCTGTATATAGTTTGATTTCTATATATTTGTGTGTTGTCTCCCTCATTAAATTGTAAGCTCCTTGAGGGCAGGAACTGTCTTTTACCCCTTTTTTTGTCTCTTCGGCATTTAGCACAATACTTGGTACACAGTAGGCTCTTAATAAATTGTTATTGTTGATTCATTATTTTTTCTGTCCTCTGTTTCTTTTAATGATTAATATTTATTCAATATTTTGGAATTTTGTTTTTACATTTCTTTAATTGTTCTAGGAAGTAATAATTTTTGAGGTTGTTTTTTTGTAACCCTTCATTTTGTTTAGAACTAGAAGAGGCCTTAGAACTTAGATATTTCAACCACCTAATTTTACATGAGGAACCTGAAACTCAGAGGTTGAGTGGCTTGCCTAAGACAAATGTCTTATCTGACAGATGGCAGGATGTTGAGGAATTGGGATTATTTTCTTACCTCTCATTTCTGTTGTAATTCCTAAGTTCAGGCTTTTGTGCTTGACATTTAAGACCTTTCACAGTCCGACTCTACCCTGTTTCCCTCATGTTACTTGCCTGCTTTATCATTACTCTTCCCATACACTCAACTGCATGCAAACTGGAGCACATGTTCTTCTTCTTCCTCTCCCCTCATGCCTATGCTCATCTGCCTCTGTCTTTTGTCATGCTGTACATCATGCCTAGAGAACCTTCTCTTTTCTTCGTTATCTATTGAGTTCATACCTGTCCTTTATAATGGCCAACTTAAATGCCATCTGTTCTTGAAAACTTTTTCTGATCATCCCGTTCCCTTAATGGTAATATCCTGCCCCCTCTGCATCTTCATATTGCACATCTCTAATGTACTAGTAGTATAATATAGGTATTTGTGTATTTCTTTTATTCTCCTAGACTGTGTATTCCACAAGGGCAAGGATTGTGCTTTATCTAAACTTGTATGTCTTCCACAGCCCATAGCTTGAATGTTTCTTAGTAGAAGGATATAACATATGATTTGTGGATTTTTATTTTGGGGGAACGCTGATGTAGAACTGTGATTCTGAAGAAGCTGGAATATTATTGGAGTCAGAAGAAAAAAATGGAATTCGCTTGGCATGTTGGGGATCCAGGAGGAGGACCAGAGGATCTAAAAGAAATAGAAGACTAAAGGCATCTGTAAAGTCAAGCTGTTTAAGCAAACACAGCATTTCAGTTCAATCTACTTCATGCATAGGTGTACCAGCAGAACAAAATGTAGTGAAGAATAAAGCAAAGCTCAAAGAGGTATGTCATTCATGGAATCACATATCATTTCATAAACATTTATGTTTCATTGGATTCAGTTTGGGGAAAATTTTACTGAAAGCATATTTGCCCTTAGGTCATTTTAGTTGGTATTCATTGTAACAGTTCAACTGGGAAATGTGTTTTGGGAAATTGAGCATTATAATAACATCAAGCTTTATGATGTCAGAAATAATTGATTAGATATGTGGTTATACATACATATATATACATAAACACAGACACACACACGTGTGTGTGTGCGTGCGTGTGTTTGTGTGTGTTTAAATCCTAACAAACTGGATATACTTTTCCATTTGCTTGTAGGCAGTTTTGATGTATATAGGAATATCATGTTTCAGCTTATTAGACCCTTATTGGAAAAGTTCACTGTTCCAGTATAATAAAGTAATATATTAGAGTTTCATTTCTTTGAGAATGTATTAAAACTTCCTTCTGCTAGAACTAACTCATTTGCATGGTAAATTGAGCTGTGAAGTGGTGTTGGAAATACGATACAACATAGATAATGCTAATTTGTGGTCTTCTAAGTCATTATGCTGCCATCCTAACCCTCTGTATCAGAAAACCAGCCTGAGATGTGGCTGTGCCATTTTTCTGAGTTACTGGCTTACTATGGGCAAATTCCTTTACCTCTGTGAACTTCAGCTTCCTTTTTTCTAAGATGAGGATAATAATGATTGCCTTACCTAACTTATTAAAATTAAATTTTAAAAATTGATGTAAATAAATAATTCTTAAACTATAAACACATGCAAATTTAAATTGTTAATAATTGTTATAGTAGTGGATAATAGAATTCCTCAAGATAGAGGTACGATTGTAATGAGTGAGAACTCCACATAACCATTCTGAAGAATAGCACTAGCCACCATATTCGGTTTATTTACTAAACTCACTGTTAATCTTGCTTAAAAATACAAGGAGAAGAAGTGGATTAGATGGGATATTAATTTTTTTGCTTTTTTTGCCTTTTTTTTTTTTAGGCAGAAACTAATATTAGTGACATTAAGTTCTGAATACAAATTACCTTTTATGAATTACCTTTAATCATGAACACTCATCATCTTCCTTAGCTTTTTCCCCAAAACATTTAATTACTTATATGGTTATATACAGTTAAGTAGAAGGCTAAGGACAACTGTAAAGTCAAGTCGTTCAGGCAAACAGCAATTCAGGTCAACCTATTTCATACACAGGTGTAGCAGCAGAACAAAAGGTAGTGAAAAATAAAGCAAGGCTCAAAGAGAGATGTCAAGAGGTATGTTAAGACCCATATTGTAACATGTAGGCAGTCATAGGATATGAAGTGGCAGTTCTTAAAAGATGAAAAACAAATTGCCAATAAAGACATAAAGTATTCAGTTTCTCTTATTAAGTAAATGTAAATTAAAACAACATTGAGGCAGAAATGTCCATTTAAAAATAGGCACACTATTAACAGAATTGTAAATTAGTTCCAGCCTTTTGGAAAGCTATATGGAATCACACATAGTAATTATAAAATTATGTACCCAATAGTACCAGTACTTTGCAATCACAAAACCTCAGCAGGAGGTGCAGATTGGGATAATAACACTCCCTCACTCAAGTTACCTCAGGTATTTTCGGTGCCTAATGGTACCAGAAGTGGTTCCACTACTTCTATTTCAGACCAGACACTTCCTAAATAATACTTATTTACTTAGCTTATAATTAGTAATAAGGTACAGACTTCTTATGTCTCCTTTGCATCTTTCCATTGACTTGAGTCAACCACAACTTTGATTCTTTAGATGATGTTCAAAGATCTGTGACCACAGGGAGAAATTTTGAGTTAAAAAAGATGGGATTTTTGGCTGGGATACAATTTGGCATCGTTAAAAGCATTGAGCAGTTTTCCGAATTCAATACACAAGTCAGAGTTTTATGCAGTCAGCATAATTTCATCTGCAAACAGGACCATCTACAATTTACTTTATAAATTTTTTTTTAACATGATCTTCATTTCCCCATATACCCAGTATTTCCTGCCTTCTACCCAGAGAACCAGCTAACTCATACATCAATTGAGTCTGACATGATATACAGGAATTTATATTCTTAGTCTCACACTTCTACAAAGAAGAGATGGAAGAACATTCTCATCTCTCTTCCTTGGGGTTAAATTTGGTTATAATTACAAGGCATTTAGTTTTTATTTTTCCCCCCATTGTTGTAGTTATGTGTATATAGTTTTTGTTTCCCCTTATTCTACCTTGCATCAGTTCATATAATTCTCCCTGTGTTTCTCTGTGTTCTCCATATTCTTTGTTCCTTACAGTGCAGTATATGTACCAGTTTAGTCATATCCCTTATTGATTGGAATCTGTTTTTAGTTCTTTGCTACTACAAAAAAGTGTACAGATGACATTTATTAGCATATTAGTGTTCACAGATTTATTCATGTACAGTACTTCATTTGATCCTCACAATAACTCTTTGAATGAATTAGGGACTGTTCTTATCCTAATTTGCTCCCCATTTTAATTAAAATATCCTCCTGCTGAGGCTCTGGAATAGCACAATCTTGGAATAGCACAATCTCTGAAGAATCAAAGTTGTGGGTGACCTAAAGGTCTGGAGAAATGCATATGACTGTAAGTAGGTAGTATTTTCTTATTAATGGTGACCTAAGAACAAGAAGTATCATTTAGGATATATACTATCTGAAAAGGAAGTGGACTAAGTTTGTAGTGAGAATGCTGTAGTGATACCCATGCATTGTTAAAAAACCCAGAGGTAAGCCCCCCAGCATGCCAGGTGGATATTTTATTGAGGATTTTTTTGGAATAATGTGGACAAGATTTACATGAATGAGAAGTCATAACTAAATGTAATCTGTGCCCGTGGAGGGAATTTCCATACCTATGAGACCATAGATTTGTCAAAGTATTGCTGCCTTGGAAATACGAACCAAAAAACAAAAACCCTGGGGAATCCTCTAATAGATTACATTATCCTCTTGGAGAAATCTATGAAAGAACATGGACAAGAGTTGCACAAGATGAGAAGAGTGGGCTAGGATTTGATTTGTACTGTTAGAGGAAAGCCTCACATTCTAGCTCTTTCTCTCCTTTGCAATATGCTGATAGTTGACATTCTCTTTTTTTAAGAAGGATGGTGAAAAATTTGAAAACTTAATCTCATATAAGGAAAAATTGAAGGTATGGTTAGTCTAAAGAAGATGACATAGGATAGCTGTCTTTAGATATTGAATGACTATTATGTTTAAGAGGGGAGAGATTTTCAGTCAGTTGTGGAAGTAATAAGAAGATATATTTTACTTATATATTTAAGAAAGACATTTCTAATGACTAGAACCATTCATAAAAGGAATATGTTACCTTGTATTAAGAATAGTGAATAGAGCTTTAAAATTTGCAAAGCAATTTGCATACATCATCCCATTTGATCTTCACAGCAACCCTGTGAGGTAAGTACTACTAGTATTACCCCTCCCTTACACAGATGAGGAAATTTAAGGTTTAGAAAAGTTGTGATGCATATGACCTCACTACTAAGAAGTGAAATAGAGAATTTGAAACCTGACTTATCTTGACTTCAAGCCTAGTACTCTTTACACATCGTTATGCTGCTTCCTCAGTGTGCTCCCTGTACGTGGAGGCATATAAGCAGATGCCAGTGTCGACAGTATAGTATCTCTCTGATACAATAGAAGAGATATCTATATTGGATAGGAAGTTGGACTAGCTTCTGTCTGAGATTCCTTTTAAGAATGTGTAAAAGAAGTAAAATTTACTGCTGGCTTATTAGATATGTAAAAGCACATGCATAGCTTTCAAAAGTTGCTAAATGTCATGTTTTGGTAGTTGCTCCAGCAGTGTGACCATGAAGATTTAATGAAACTGGCTCTACCGCGTCTAAGTGAGCTTGTAACTGTCTATGAATTTCTTCTCATGAAGGTGAGTATTCTCATTATATAAAAAGTATACTGCTTTGGATGATGATACTTAATAATTTAGAAAGTTGAACTTTTTTTCATTTAAAATGAACTAGGGTGTTTGGAATTTTCTGTGCAATAGATTTCTGCAAATATTTATCAGATCTCTATTTGACACGTTAGAGGGTGTCTGGTTGTCTGTATTTATTGTTTATTGCAGTGATAGAGGCTGAAGGGTATAGTAGGTAGAGTGCTAGATTTGGAGTTGGGAGGACATGGGTTCAAATCCTACCCCAGAGACTTTCTAGCTGTGTAACCTGGGGCAACAATCAATCATGAAGCATTTATTAAGCCCCTATTTGGCCAGGCACTGTGCCAACCACTGGGAATACAAGAAAGGCAAGACTAAACAAACAACCAAAACCCAAAACTGGCCAATGGAGTCCTACTGGGAGAGACAACATGTAAGTATTGCTTTACACACAAGATAGATATAGAAGATGTGCAAGTAATCTGAAAGGGGAAGGCATTAGCAGCTGATGGAGCTAGATGGACTAAAAAGAAAATCTCCTTGCGGGGGGGAGGGGTGGGATATGAGCTGAGTCTTTGAAGGGAGCCAGGGAAACTGAGTGGCAAATGTAAGAAGGTAGATTATTCCAGGCATGAGAAACAGCTAATTCGAAGGCACAGGACTAGAAATCAAGTGTTGTGTTTGAGGAACTTGAAGTAGGCCAGTGTGGCTAAATCATGGGGTACGTGCAGTGGAATGAGGTATAAGAATGCTGGAAAAGTAGGAAAGAGGCCAGGTTATGAATAACTTTAAACGCCAAACAGGATTTTATATTTGATCCTGGAGATAATAAGGAGACTCTAGAGCTCATTGAACTAGGGGCATGGCATGGTCATACCTATATTTTAGGTAAATTACCTCGGCAGCTGAATAGAGGATAGATTGGAATAGGAAAAGGCTTGAGGAAGGGAGAATAATTAGAAGGCACCAGTCCAGTCAAGGAGTAAGGAGGATCAGAACTAAGATGTTGGCTTTGTGAGTGGGGAGAGAAGGAAGTTTACTCAATAGGTAAAGGTAGAAGAGAAGATTTGTCAGTGGATTGGATATTTAGGATAAGTGAGGTGTCAAGAGCGATACTGAATTTTTGAGCTTGGGTAACTGGGATGATGTTGGAAGTTTGAAAGTGGAGCAGCTTTGGGGTGGGCTAGAGCAGGGGTTGTTGGAATTGTGCAGACAGTAAGGATAAAGAATTTTGTTTTGGAGAGTTGAGTTTGAGATGAGACAACAATTGAATCCATGGGAGCTGATGAGATTACCAGGTGAAATAGTGCAATGGAAGAAGAGAAGACAGTCCCGGACAGATCCCTCTGGAAACACTGGTGGGTAAGTGGGCGTGACCAGGATGAAGATCCAGCAAAGACTGAGAAGAAACAATCAGGTAGGGGAACCGGGAGAGAATAGTGTCACAAAAACCTAGAAAGAAGAAAGTATCAAGGAGAAGAGGGTGATTGACAGTGTCAAAGACTGCAGAAGGGTCAAAAAGGATGAGCATCGAGAAAAGGCCATTAGATAGGGCATTTAAGAGATTGTTAATAAATTTTTTTCAGTTCCAAATTCTTTCTCTTCTCCCTTCCACTTTCCCCTACTTACTGAGAAGGCAAGAATTACAATATCCATTATAGATATGAAGTAATGCAAAGTATTTCCATATTAACCATGTTCCAGGAAAACAGTAACTTCCACCAGAAAACAAAACAAAACAAAAACCCCAGAAAAAGAAAGAGAAAAAATACGCTTCAATATGCACTTGAGTCCTTCAGATCTCTGTATAGAGGTGGATAGTGTTTTTTTATCTTATCATGAGTCCTTTGGAATTGTGATGGATTGTTGATCAAAGTTGTTAGTAATTTTGGAGAGAGCAGTTTTGGTTGAATGATGAGGTTGGGAGTCAGATTGTAAAAATTAAGAGAGTGAGAGGAAAGGAACTTGTTATAGATAGCCTTTTCAAGAAGTTTAGCCACAAAAGGGAGGAGAGAGCTGGCAAGGATAGATTGGGTTTTTTTGAGGATGGAGGCAACATGAGTATGTTTGTAGGCAGCAGAGAAGCAGCCAATAACATGCTGCAGAGAGATCAAGGAGGATGAAGATTGAGAAAAGGCCGTTAGATTTAATAGTGAAGAAAGATCATTAGTAACTTTGAAGAGGGAAGTTTCAGTTGAATGATAAGATGTGAGTGCAGATTGCAGAGAGTTTTAAAGGGGAGTGAGAGGAGAGGAAAGGGCTGGAATCTTGAAGGCCCGGTTTCAAATCTGGTCTCAGACACTTGTGAGCTGTGTGACTCTGGGTAAGCTACTTAACCTGTTTGCCTCAGTTTTCTCATTTGTAAAATGGAGGTAATAATTGTACCTACCTCCCAAGGTTGATGTGAGGATCAGATGATATAATTATAAAGTGCTTAGCACAGTGCCTGGCACATAGTAAGCACTTTAAATGTTAGTTATAAATGTTAGTTATTATTATTTCTAAATGTAGATGGCATTCTTGAGGAGTTTAGCCAAGAAGGAGAGGGGAGATAAAAGATAGTAGCAAGAGGGAATCATGGATCAAGTGAGGGTTTTTTAGACATAGAAGAGAAATGGGTGTAATAGGCAGTAGGGAAGGAACCTAGTAGATAGATAGTAGAGATAATAGAATGGGAATGATGATGGGGATCATTTTGAGATAGTGGGATCAAGTACACAAGTAGATTGCTTTCCTTGCAAAAAGAAGGGCCATTTCTTCATTTGATACCAGAATCATGTAACCTCTCTGGGCCTCAGTACCTCATCTGTAACATGAGGGGGTTGCATCAAGCGATCTTCATTGGTCTCTTCCAGTCCTACATCAGTGACATTGTAATAGGCATAGAACAGTTGTGACATTGTGCTTCTGCCATTGACTGGCACTTATTCCTTTTCCTTTTCTTCTATTCTCAAAAATAATGGAGTGATTTGGTATTTCCTTCTCCTGTGGATTAAGGCACACTGAGGTTAAGTGACTTGTTCAGGGTCACACAACTAGGTAAGTGTCTGTTAAGAGACTGCTCTTGAATTCAGGTCTTTCTTAACTCCAGGCCCAGCTAGAGCCTGGAATCTCTATCCACTGAGCCCTCCTTTTGACAGAGGGTGGGGGACTATAAATGGAATGAAGCACATGTCTGATATTTCCAATGAGTTGGTTTGGTTTGCTTAAATATACTTCTTTGGTACAGGGAAAAGTTCTGTGGATTGTGGGGGAGGGGACGTTTAGGACTTCATTGGAAAGTAACAGCAATATTAAAAGTATCAGTACCATTTATTTTAATAAGAATTATTGATTGTATTTTAAATATTATTGCTTCATCTATTAGATTTTTTTCTTCTTCTCTAAAGGTTGAGAAGAGTCATCCAACAAAACCTTTTTTCCCAGATGTATATAAGGAATTTGAAGAGTTGCATAAGATGGTTAAGAAAATGTGTCAAGATTACTTCAGTAACTCTGTTCTGAGTTCTCAGCAGCCCTTGGAAATAAAAAATAATGAGGTAATGGGCATAGGAAAAGGGAGTTTGTGTATTAAAAGTTATTTTTAAAAATGCCCTTTTACAAATGAACATAGGCAGTTATGTATTTTTACCAACTCTTTTGTAGTTAGCTTTTGGGGTAACATCTTTATTTTGGATAAACTCTGTCTAGAATTCAGGACCTTTCATAATCTGATGCTAACTTTTCAGACTTATTTCCTTACTGTTCTGTGTATTTACTACATTCTGGCTACACTTTGCCTAATGAATATGATCTGGGCTTTTCTGCATCTCTGCTTTTGTGCATTCCATTCCCTATGACTTCCTCTTTCTTCTATTGAATTTCCATCAATCAATCAGTCAGTTAGCATTTATTATCCATTTTTGAAAGTCCAAGATTAATGATACTTCCTCCATGATTGCTGGTCCACTCCTGTTGGCATTCATCTTCCTCCTTAGATCTCACATGACACTTGGTCATAATTCTGACACTTGGTCATAATTCTGTCTAATATTGTTGGCATTATGATAATCTCTGTGTATTTTGCTTTTCTTACTATATCGTGAGACTATAGGAACCACATCTCATGTAAAGTCTATCTCCCTCACTGCTGACCACAAAGGCCCTCATTGTTTCAGTTCAACTGAATTGACAATTAGACTTATATGTTGTCTCTCTTGGCTATGCATTTGCATACATACTAATGTTTATCATTAAACTTTATTGAACTAGAAAAGCAAGATATGCTGATATATTCTTTACCTGCATTATTTTAAAGATTTGTGGAGAGCATCTAATGGTAGATTCATTAAATATCTCCTTAAAATTTATTAGATGCTGCTCTTAGATATCTTAAAAGGTTAAATATTGTACATTAAACAATTACAAATACTAAAAAAAAACAACCCCTGAAAACAAGGTGGTTTGTAATGTACTGGAATGAAATGCTTGACCTGCAAATGTCTGTTGAGAATAAGAATTAGAACTTTACACACTACAGTACATTAAATTGAACAAGCTATTTTAATCCAAATTGGATTCTAGTGTGATTTTTATTTTGTTTTACTTTAAATTACAAAATGTGGACTTCAGCCTTTTCACATGCCAAAATTTGCCTTGCTGTAATGCTGTATACATCCATCTAAATCCATCTCTTATAGGTAGCCCATCAGTGATGTAGCCTCTATGGAGAAATGACATTGCATCAGTTTTTAAGGGGACACTGTCAAGGTTGGTAGGCTCAAAACTTGCCTAATCCTTTTTTTCCCTTCCTGTATTTTCTTTTGGTTTATGTTTGAAATATCTATGTAGTCTCCTGTCCCTCCTTTTTCATCCTCTGGATGTGAGTATGGCAGTGTGGAAAAAGCACTTCATAGCTCAGTATGCATGAGTGTTTCTAAGGAAATAGACCAGTGACTGCTCCCAGGAGGAGTCATCATAGGTATGGAGGCAGCTCAAGGGGAAGAGCCTGGAGACTTAGGCCTCAGTCTTGGCTCTGACTGTTACTAGGCGTGTGGACTTTCACCTCTCTGAGATTCAGCTTCCCCATCTGTAAAATGGGTTTATAATACTCTTTGTACTACCTCTCAGGCTGTTATAAAGAGAACTGGAATGTGTTTTAAAATTCGAGCTAGTATCATTAAGTAATCTGCCTCAGTAATAAGTCAATTTTACGATGAGTTTTCAGGCCTCGTGGAAGAGAGAACTATGAAGTCTTAAGAAAACCTTTGCAGTGTCCTCTTCTAAACTTTGCTAACGCCGCAACTTTAATTTTTGGGAATAACCTTTTTTGCTACTGGTATTCATTCTAACCTTGTATCTTTGTTCCCACCTGATTACATAGTGACTAACTTAATAGAGGGACTTTGTGTACCAAATTGGGCTTAGTCGTGTAGTTATTATTTACTTGTCATTGAAAAGTTGTTACTTTCTTGAATTTTTTTTTTTTTTTTGGCCCTAAATTCTAGGTTGCTAAGTCACTGGGAATTACAGAAGAGCTTCTACAGAAGAAAGAACTGGAAAAGAATGGCATTTTGCCTCAATATATACTCAGTGCAGTTGAAGTGGGGCTAGGTGAAATTACTGGACAGAAAAGAGAAAATGAGGTAGGTGTTTGTGGTGGAAAATTTATGTAGCATTTAATTTCCTATGTTTCCATAGTAGAATGTAAGGTCCTTGAGGGCAGTAATTGTGGTTTTTTGTTTTTGTTTTTTTAATTTGAATTTAATTTGAATCCCGGAATCACATAGTAGGTACTTAATAAGTGGTTGTTGAATTGATTTGAAAAAAATCTCTGGACTTGGAGTAAGAAGACCTGGCTTTGAATCCCAGCTTTGTTAATTTTTCAGCTTTGTAACTTGAGAACATTACTTGACTTCACTGATTCAGGTTTTATTTGTAAAATGGAGTTAACTTATTTAATCTATCAATAATTAATAAACATTTATTAAGTGCCTTCTATGTGCCAGGCACTGTGCTAAACCCTAGGGATACAGAAAGAGGCAAAAAATAATCCTTACTCTAAAAGAACTCACAATCTAATTGGATATTAATTGAATGAATTTATTTATTCAAAAATGTTGGACTCTCAAAAGGTCAAAAATGGGAATCAATGAAAAAAAATTTGAAGGAAGGCACCTTAGCATTACCAGATTTCAAACTTTATTACAAATGGTAATCATGAAAACATTCTGGTACTGGCTAAGAAATAGTAGGGGCCGCTACATGGTGTGGTTGACAGAGCTCCGGCCTTGGAGTCAGGAGGACCTGAGTTAAAATTCGGCCTCAGACACTTGACGCTTATTAGCTGTGTGACCCTGGACAAGTCATTTCACCCTGATTGCCTTACCAAAAACAAACAAACAAACAAAAAAAGAAATGGAGTGGTGGATCAGTTGAATAGATTAGGTGCATAATACATGGTGGTAGTAAATGGCTATAGTAATCTAATGTTTGATAAACCCAAAGATCCAAGCTTTTGAGGCAGGAACTCAACATTTGACAAAAATTATTGGGAAAATTAGAATACAACTTTGCAGAAACTAGACATAGACCAACATCTCACACTGTGTACTAAAATAAGATCAAAATGGTAAATGATTTAGACATAAAGGGTAATATAAGTAAATTAGGGGAACATGGAAAAATGTACCTGTCAGATCTATGGATATGGGAAGTTTATGACCAAACAAGAGATAGAGAGGATCATAGCATATAAAATAGATAATTTTGATTACATGAAATTAAAAAGTTTTTGCACAAACAAAACCAGTGCAGCCAACATTAGGAGGAAAGGAGTAAACTAGGGAAAATTTCTTATAGCAAGTTTTTCTGGTAAAGGCTTCATTTCTCAAATATAAAGGGAACTGAGCCAAATTTATAAAAACAAGAGCCATTTCCTAGTTGATAAATAGTGCAAGGATATGAACAGGCAGTTTTCAGAAGAAATGAAAGCTATCAATTGTCACATAAAAAAATGCTTTAAATTACTATTGATTAGAAACATGCAAATAAAAACAAATCCGAGGTACCATCTCATACCTATCAGAAATGACAAATGTTTGAGGAGATATGGGAAAATAGGTACACTAATGAAATGTTGGTTAAGTTGACCATATTATGTTTTTTTCCACTTGTCATCTGTTTCTCTGAAGGTGGATAATGTTTTCCTTTGTAAGTCCATGTCTTCCCATTTTTTTCTAAATCAACCAGCTCATCATTTCCTATTCCACAACAGTATTCCAACCCAATCACATCCTATCTGAGAGATTGTCTATGAAAATTTTTCCCCCCAGTTTTCTGCCTTCTTTCTATTGGCTGCATAGGTTTTGTTTATACAAGAAAATTTTAATTTAAAATAATCAGAATTATCCATTTTGTAATTCAACAATGCTCTCACCTTAAAACATGGTTTAAGGTCTGATACTGCTGAATCTGCTTCCTTGACATCTTTTTGCTCATTCTGGAGAACAATTTGGAACTATGCCCAAAGGGCTATAAAACTGCATACCCTTTGATCCAACAATACCACAGCTAGGTCTGTATCTCAAAGAGATCAAAGAAAAAGGAACCCATATGTACAAAAATATTTATAGCCACTCTTTTTGTCGTGACATAGAATTGGAAATTGAGGGGATGCCCATCAATTGAAGAATGGTTGGACAAGTTGTTGTATATGATTGTGATGAAATACTATTGTGCTATAAGAAATGATGAGCAGGATACTCTCAGTAAATCTTGGAAAGACTTTTTGAATTGATGCAAAGTGAAATGATCAGAATCAGGAAAATATTGTACATAGTAATAGCAATATCATATGATGATCAACTGTGAATGATTTAGCTATTCTTAGGAATACAATGAACCAAAACAATTTGGATCTTAAAATTTTTAAAAATAAATGTTAAATATTGAAAAGAAAACCAGCCACAGTCCCTATTACTTTGAAACATGGAGGCCAATATTCCAGTTGTGTTATTTCCCTTTTTGCAGAATTAGGCTGGTTTGATTTCAGGTATACAGATACATAAAAGTCTTAATGCAGTTTTAAGCTGTTAAAGATGATATATATAAATTTGGTCTAAGTAGGAATTAATTAAGCATTTCTGTAGATCAAACACACACACACACACACACTCTCTCTCTCTCTCTCTCTCTCTCTCTCTCTCTCTCTCTCTCTCTCTCTCTCTGAATGATTTGTAGTTATCCAGCATGTCAAACAAAAAATGCCAAACTTTTATAGGATTCAGTTCAACAAACATTTACCAAATGTATACTCTGCATTATGCTGGGCATATGGGGGTTACAGAGACAGTATTGTTCTCAAGGACCTTACATTCTACTAGGAAATAGATAATTTGGGGGGGGGGGATGGACTGAACCTGTGGTTTCATTGTGGAGAAAACTCTCATTGCAGATAGGTACTTGCTCTGCAACTTAGTCTTAGAGAGTTTCCTGAGGTACTGAGAGGTTATGTGATTTACCTGACTCACACAGTCATTGTGTGTAAGAGGTAGGACTTGTTGACATCTGACCTTTTTGACTCCTCGACCAGCCAGCTCTCTGTCCATTATGTGATACTCTCTAGATAACGAATTTGGCTGGAAATTAGCAGGTAATAAGAGTAAATATATGGAGTGATATGCTTAATAATTTTAATACATTATTTTAAAAGAAAAAGACCATTTTGTTAATTAATTGAATTATTAATTAGCTATATATCCACTAGCTTTAAGTATCTTAATATAGTTTTAGACATTCTATGTATGTATGCTACTGCATGCTTGGCAATTCATTTAAATTCAGTTAAACATTTATTAAGGGAAAAATAAAGAAAATAAAACCCCCAAGTTCCCGTACCTGTGCTCAAGAGTGTTTATATTCCATGGGGGATAAAACATTTACATGGATAAGTAAGTACAAAATAATTTTGGGCAGGAGAGAATTCTAACAAGTAGGGGGATCAGCTGAATGGCCCCCAACTAGTGCTGTATAGGAAGCTAATGATTCTAAGTGAGAAGGAAATACTTTCGATGTGAGACAGCATGGGCAAAAGTCTGAGTTCAGGAATAAGCCATTTTGGCTGGAATACTAAGTATGTGAAGAGGAGGAGACTCATGAAATAAAACTATAAAATAAGACCAGAGCCAGACTGAAGGTCTTTAGATGTCAAATTGAGGAGTTTGCATTTTATTCTACGACAGGGAAACCATCTTGCATTTTTTAGTAGAGTGATATTATCAGACTCTGTAATAATAATGCTTGTGTTTCCTACTTAATATATGGAAATTGTTTAATAAATCTTAAAAGCATTGCAGAAATGTGAATAGTTATTACTGTGCCAGGGTTGATTACTCTTTGAAACATTGAATTGCTGTAGTTTTAATTTTTAAACATTCATAACGATGACAAGTCAGAAAAGGTATTTTTTCATGTTGTTTAGTGAATTGGATTTTTATTCATAGATACTTGAAGAAGTGCTGGTGCCAGTCAAAAGAACCAGGATAGAAAGTGAATCCAAGAACATGAATGATAATTATGCTAGTCACAGTGGACTCAAGGAGAAAACCATACCTTTGTGTAACCAAGTTAACACTGAAGGTAACATTTCTGTGGCACTCAGTTTGATTGGATGCACTAATTGTTCAGTAGCATTTCAAGTTATTTTCAAATTTTAAAAATTTTCAAATTTAAAAAAAAAATAATCTACTTCAGTGTTTGAAGGCTTTTTAGGTTTTTAGGTTTTTAAGAGCCCAACTTAAAGTGATACGCTCCCGAGGGCATCACTTACTTCCTCAGAAACCTTTCTGTAACTCCCCATTGCTTACAAAATGAATATGTTTTAGACCATTTTTTTTAGACAAAGCTTGGGTGCCTGTATGAAACCTACCAGGATTTTCTTCGACATAGAAACCAACCTCCACCTAGTACATGATATCTGTTGTCTCTTTCCAGTAATAACAATAGCAAGTATTTATTTGGCACAAAATGCTTTTTCTATATATTCTTTCATGTGACCTTCATAACAATCCTATGGGGTGGGTGCTATTATCCCCATTGTACAGATAAGGAAACTGAGACTAAGAGATTAAGTGACTTGCCCACAGATACACAACTAGTAAGTGTTTGAGGCAGAATTCAAACTTAGGTCTTCCTGATTCCAGACTTCAGTGTGGCCCCCTTGTACCCTTTTTTACTACATTCTATTTAGTTGTATATATATCTTTATCTTTCCTACTGGATAGTAAGCTCCTTGAGGTTAGGGACATTGTCGTGTAGAAAGAAGGTCGTCTTTGAGCAAAACTGGGAGTTCTCTTGGGAGAACTCTGGGAGTTAGAAGTGAATGCATTCCAGGCTTAGAAGTTGAAGAGCCATAGTCATCTGTAATTTGGTTGGACTGAGTATGTGAAGAGGTTTAAAAAATTAAAATTAAAACATTTTAAAAAATGTATGATAAAGCTGCAAAGTTACATTGGAGCCAGGTTGTGAATGCCTTTAAATACCAATATGGGGAACTTGTATTGGATTCCAGAAGTAATAGAGAGCTACTGGAATTTATGAAGCAGGAGAGTGACACAGTGAAACTTGTGCTAATGCCCTTGCTATCGTACTCATTTTTTCTCTGTGTAAGAGCAGGTGGCTGGATGACATGGTTTTTAAGGTCTCACGTTCTATAACATAACCTACCAAATTAGCCTTAGAAATCATTGCAAATCATGTGTTGAAATTTTTTTTAGTAACATTAACAAACATCAAATAAAATTATACAGTAGAAGAAAAAAGAATTGTACATGAAACTGTGACTCTTATATACAACTTGATTTTTATTTTTAAGTGAGTTCAGTGTATATTTTTTTAAATAATTTTTTACTGTTATCTTGATTTTTATATTGACTAAATTTCCCCCTCTGTCCTGCTTCTTGCCCTCTGCCAGAAAGCTATTCCATGCAACAATTTTTTTTTTTTTTAGAAAAATAGCAAAACCAATTAATACATAAATCTGGTAATACATGCAATTCAATATGTATCTTTTAAAGCTGTCTGCTTGTCTGATTGAGTTCAGACTTTTCTGTTCTTTTATGTGCATTTAAAAAAAAAATGGCCATATATTTTCTGCCTGTCTTTGTTCAGCTGGTTTGATAATTTTGAGTGTTAACCCTGTTTTGGGTTCATCTGACCTGTCAGTCAAAGGGTAATAACCTTTCTTCCACCTTATCTACTATACTGTTTGTCAGCAGTCTGCAAGCTAATTTACCATGTAGTGCTGAATGTTTCATTTCTCTTTTGCTTTTTAAAATGGTTTCTTCTTGTTGAGGTAGAGATATAGTGAATAGAGTGCTGGACTTCGAGTCAGAAAGACCCAGGTTCAAATTCTGCCACTGACAATAACTGTGACCATTGGCAAGTCAATTAACTCCTCTGAGTTCCAATCTCATCTCTGAAGAGAGGATAATACCTATTGTACAGAAGGTTTTTGGTAAGGCACAAGTGAAAATCATTTCATTTGATATATGTCAAAGTTTTTACAAACTTTAAAGCATTATATAAGTGCCACTTAGGATTATGATGATTAGATTAAAATTAATAGCAGTATAGTCCTCAAAAAGTTTACTACTGTCGTTTGAAAACTAACCTTTTTAAAGACAGTAGTGGCCAACACCAGAGCTTTGGGCACCAGGAAATGATTTTTTTTCAGCCATAGCAATGCAGGATATGAGTTTTGTTGGTGTAGGTATATAGATGAAATCACTCTTAGCTGTTAAAATTATTCTGCAAAACAAATTTTGCTCTCAGTCCCATCTAGCAAGATTTCATTCTTTAGTTTTTGCCAAGGGAGTTGTTATATAAACAATATAATCAATACTTAGCTTATTCTTTCTATAGTGAAACAGTAAAAGTTAAATGCATACGTTTATGCAGCCAACTATGCTTGGCTCAGGGAGAGATAGAATTCAGATAAGATCCTGTTCCTTCCCTATGGAATTGAGTAACAGATAATACACAAGCACAAATAAGTAGCATATATGTTTTGAATTGTAATTCAGTATTTTAAGAAATCAGTGGATCTGTGTTCTGATTTTTGGGAGTACTCCTGAGCATTTCCTGTCTAAGTTCATTGTTCACAAAGGATACCCACAGTTTCTGGGGAGGCTTTCCTCTACATCTTTTAATATTTCTTCTATACCGTTGTCCTACTTGGGTTGTCTTGTTCTCACCACATGACTTGATCACCTCTTCTGATTGTATATTTTTTGGGTGATATATTTTATGCCCACTAATTTTTATTTCCAATGCATTTTGAGTATTTGTAATTGTAATTGTATGAATGATATAGGATATGTGACCATATTTTATATATACAAGTCAGTTTATTGAAGAATCATGAAATGTTTCTATGTTCAATTTTTCCCAAATGTTTTAGGTTTCAACCTCCAGCTTAATAGGACTACCTGTCAGTCTTCAGAAGAAACTTATAATGTGGCAGTCATTGATGGTGGGAGTCACATGTTAAATGCTGACCAGCCACCTAAAGCATTTACTGATGTAGAAGGCAACAATGAGCCTCCTAAAGCATTTGCTGATGTAGAAAGCAAGAATGAACCTGCAGGTTCTGTCAATCTATACCAGGCTGTTGAAGGAATGCAAACTTCTTCCCAGTTAGAAGATCCAGGTAGCCTATTTCAAGAACAAACAGAGTTGCTCCCTGAATATGTTCATAATCACCCCCCTGACCAGACTATTTCTGATGAATCTGCTATTTCTGATTTCTGTTGTACTGCGTTATCGGATAAAGATTGCCCATGGTCTGGGCATGAGGTTCAAAACAGAAGAGAGAATGAAGATTGTAAATCCCATCAGGAATTTTTTAATCCAGGTAATGAGATTCATGAGATAACACCACAGCCTGAAAATACTTTGTCAACAGACATTCCCATGGACAATTCATGCCGGACTTCTTCAGAATCACAGCATCACCCTTTATTAGAAGCATCTATGCCCGCTGAGGACATTCTTGAAAATCCTACTGAAAATTTGGACCAGTTCCCTGAGTCATTACAGAATGTCCAAAGACAACAGGAGAGTGCAGTTGCTGTAGGTGAAACTCTGGCCTTTGAAATTCCTGATGAGAGCCAGGAATTGTCTCAGGGACATGAACAGATTTTTATTCAAACTTCAGATGGGCTTATCCTGTCCCATCCAGGTACAGTTGTATCTGAGGCTAATGATATTGTTATAGTAACAGAGGTTAATGGTACTGCAGTGCACATCAGTACACCTGATGGACTTCCTTTAGAAACACTGGAAGCATTGCTGGCGGTAGAAAGAGAAAGCCAGAGTGAGAGCATTATGAACTCTCATAATTAAATAGTACCAGAAGCATAGTTTTTACATTTATACATAATTGTCTTAAGAAATGGTCTTTTTCAACAAAAGTCTATTTTTCTAATGTGAATACTGAAACAAGTGGACCTTTTATTTATAAAGAATTATCTTATTTCTACAATGAAATGTACTTTTTTATGTATCTTGTCTGAACTGAAAATAGCTAAATATAACCAAAAACCATGTTGGTTTTTGATTTCAAACACCTTTTAAAACTTCAAGAGCTTGTGATGAATGTTGTGAAAACTGCATTATCACTTGTTTCATGAAACCGTTTACAACTCTTGAATTCCCGTTCCACCCCCCACAATGCAGTTTGCTTCACTGCATTTTGACAGTGATGTCTATATTGGAAACTTCTTGAAAGCTATATTTTAACAAAATTGATTGCACGGTATTTTCCTTGGTAATAGAATATCACCATTACTATCCCAGTTTTAGAGATCAGATGGAAGAACAATTTCTTTGTGGTCTGTTTCAAGAAAGAACTAGTGTGATAGTCACATCTCACTGTGAAAAAGTAAAGAGGCCCTTCAGATTCTAAGATGTCTGTTTGACTCAGTTTTTAATGATTTTTTTAAAACAGAATTTGCCTTAGTCTGTGGTAATTAATATTCTACACTGAAAACCGTGATATTTTAGTCATTTATACTAAATAGTCCATGGGTGGATAAAAAAAGAAATTTTTGACCTAGTCCTTTCTTTTCCACAAAGGGTTACAAGACTTAAATAGGACAATCAGAATTATAAAAAGCAGCATATAATCAAGTGCCAAAATATGTAATAGACTATCATAGTATTTCTCTTTTAAAGTATAATTTTGGATTATCTCTTTTGAGTCTCACAGTACTCTTTTTCTAGTACTAAAATTTCTTGGTGCTTTTTCCTTCTAAAACAATGTTTTATTAAATTTTATTTACACTTCTGCCATTTCCCAATATTCATGTACTACTCCCCTTCCTCTTTCATAGCAATGAAAATGACAAATTGATGTCTAACAGCATGTGTGTCATTCTTCACCTGTAATGATGTTTCGTTTATCAGTCTTTAGGATTTAAGACTGGTCATTACATTTATGTGAGTCCTCCTATCTTTTAGTGTTATTTTCTCAATTTTAAATTATTTTTTTTTTGACTGGTATTTTCTCTTACAGCATTTGTGGTCATTGTGTGGATTTTTACCAGGATTCTGCCTTCTTTATTTTTCATTGGCCAGTATAAGCCCTCCCAAGTTAATCTGAATTCTTAGATTTGTAATTTCTTAATGGCACAGTAATATCTCATTGTATTCATATGCCATAGTTTGTTCCTAGTTTATGGGAATAAATTCTCACTGTTTTCCATCTTCCTTCCCTCTTTTTGATGCTATTAAAAGTGTTGGCAGAATTAATTTGATATATATATATATATATATATATATGAGACACCTTTATCTCTTGTCTTTGACATCCTTAGGGTATACACCCAGTCTGGAGTTTTTTTTTCCTATTTGAGTGTTATATTGAAGGCTTTATTTTGCATCACTATCACTTCACAATAATGCTCCCTACCCTCAGTGGAACCCTCTGGAACGTAAACCTGCTGTGAATAGAGACTGTTTTTCCTTGTAATTGTATCCCTAATGCCCAGCATGGTACTGAGCACATATTGGATACTTAATACTTATTGACTTAAAACAAGTAAGTATAGTCAAGCAAAACATTACCACATTGGTCATGGGTGAATACCAGTGTATCATTTCTTACCTCTATTTCCTACTTCTGGTGACAGAGGGAGGGGGAAGCATGCTTCATTGCTATTATTTTATTTTATTTTTTGGGGGGTTAGGCAGTGGGGTTAAGTGACTTGCCCAAGGTCACACAGCTAGTGTTATGTGTCTGAGGCTGGATTTGAACTCAGGTTCTCCTGACTCCAGGGCCAGTGCGCTATCCACTTAACCACCAGGTGCCCCTCATTGCTATTCTTTTGAATCTATAAATGGTGACTACATTGATCAAAGTTCTAAAATCTTTTTTCCCCGCATCATATAGATTGTTTTCCTAGTTCTGACTTACTCTGCCTTCAGGTGATGAAAGTCTTCCCAAGTTTTCCTGAAGTCTCCATACTTGCTGTTTGTTACAGTGCAGTAATTACATTCATATACCATAATTTATTGTCATTCTTCAATTAGTGGACATTTATTTCTCTTCTAGTTCATTAAAATTTTTTAAATTTATACTTTTTAAAATGTCATTCATTTCTGAATTTATCCTCCTTCCTACTGGTAACTACTACCCAAGCAACACTCCCGTTGTAACAAATGTTAAAAAAGAGAAAAGGATTATGTGCAATATTCTAGTCCTCTACCTCTGTAATAAAAGGTGGGAAAGTCCAGTTTTTTAATTCTTCTGGATTTAAATTTGATCATTAAATCATAGCATTCAGAAGGGGGTTTTGTTTTTTTTCTGTTTGCATTGTTGTAGTTACTATGTTGTGTTCTTAGTTTTGCTTACTTCACTTTGCATTGGTTCATATATCTTCATATGTTTTTTCTTATTACAAAGTGTAACCAGGAATATTTTGGTGTGTATGGGCTCTTTCCTTCTGACCTTGACATCCGTGGTGTACATGCCTATTCTGGTGCTTTTTCAGAACCATATTATTGGATTATTTAATTAGAGATCATGCACTTAAGTGCAAAGCACTTTATATACATTTTTATTTGAGCCACATATACAGGAGATAGGTACATCAGATACTATAATCTCCATTTTTATAGATTGGCATGAGATGGGTTGGGTTGTGGTTTGACCATGGGGTCACATTGCTAGTGTCAGAAGTAATTGGATTTGAGCACACCATATATTCCTGAGGCCCAAGTCTGGTTTTCTATCCACTGTTGTGTAACAGGCGATCTTACATATTTGGAATGTTTAATTTTCAGAGAAATGCTCTTAGAAGAGTATTAATGGAACAGCTTATCATAGTGGCATGGCAGATAAGAGAATTGGCCTTGAAGCCAGGAAGCCTTAGATGCAAGTCCCACTTCTGGTAGAAGCTGTGTGACCCTGGGCAAATCACATAACTTCTCAGTGCTGTATATCAGAGATGTTAATCACATAGCCCTCAACACTCCAGAATACTTCTCTGAAGTAGATTAAAATGTAATTGGGAAATATTTAACTAAATAAAATTATAATTAAACAGATACTACACTTTAAAACTAAGTCAGTGTGCATCTTGCAAGGATGTTTCTGTACAAATTAGAGGTCTTCTTTTCCACATGAGTTTGACACCACTGCAGAGAAGCTGCCTACCTGCTTTGGCAGAAGTTCTGCGCTGGGAGTTCCATGCCAATAAAAACACAGATCCAGTTCTTAGAAAACAAAATTTAGTTTCTTGAGGGTACTTGAATGTAGATTAATATCATACCTTGTAGCTAAAAGTATTTTTCATTTTTCTTTTTAGTGGAAAAAAAATGACCTCTATAAGGCAGGAAATAGAAAGTCTGCTAATATAGTGTATTATTATACTGCAGTAAAATACTATTGCAGTGATGTAATGTCGATATGACCATGAAGTCAGAAGAATTGAGTTGTAATCCTGGTTCTGCTGCTAACTCACTATGACTTTGGGTAATTCATTTCACCTTTCTTGGCCTAATGAGGTGCCATGCCCAGTATTATACTTAAGACAGAGGTTCTTAAGGTTTTTTTTTTTTGTCACTGACAGTCTGATGAAGTCTATAGTCTCCTCAGAACAGTGTTTTTAAATAATGGAAGGAAATGCTAAATTTCACTTAGAGCTTAGTGAAAATAAAAATGTAAAATTTTTTTTCTCATCCAAATTCGTAGACCTTATGAAATCTATCTGTGGACTCCAAGTCAACAATCCTTATTTTAAGGCCATCTCTAAGGGTTTAATGTAATTCATCATTCTAAAATTATTGGAATAATATCAAAGCAATACAAAATGATGAGAATTTAATTTAGTAATGAGACAGAATACCTAAATGACCAAGTACCTATATAGAATTTAGACCAGACCTGTGATTTCATTGGTCTAGGGGAATTCCTGATGTGGGACTAGAGGGGTAGCCTAAAGTCTTAGAATTGACTAGAGCACGGAGAAGTTACGTGACGGTATTTTAGAGGCAAAACTTGAACTCGAGTCTTCTGGCTCTAAGACCAGATCTAAATCCACTTTACCATGCTGCCTCACATATGGTATATAGTTATATGATATGTGATGTTATTATATATTATATTATACTACTATATTATAATATATACTATAAATAACCTTAGGTTATTTTTTTTAAAGGCTCGAGTATTAAAATAATATTTAACATCAGGAATTAAATTATTGTTTAGTTGGCATTTACATATTTTTATTATTTATTTTCACTTGTTTTCTGTTTACCTTCCCCCTCCCTTTCCAGTTTTGGATAAATCTATAAATTATTAAATGAACTACCTCAGCCTTGGAAACGGTAAAAATATATGTGTGTATGTGTGTCCGTATGTGGCTCATAAAATAAGTGTAGGCATTGGACCATGATAGTTTTTATCCTAGAAAAATAAAGTCATATCCTTGGTAATTTTGTACAAAATAGAAGCAGTGGCACATTAATATTTAAAAATAAAATTTGAGAAAAATGGCATTATGGATGAATGCCATATTTCACGAGTCATGATGAACCATAAGTTCATAGTGTTGGAAAAAATAATCACTGATATTACAGAGCTTGCTTTCTGTTATTCATAACGAATCAATTTAAGTATTATGTACCTACTGTATGCAAAGGGACTTTGCCAAGTTAGTTTCAAAGGATGTTCATGACCATGGTTATTTGATATTTACAATTAGTCTGTGCGAGATAATACGTATGTAGAAAGAAAACTCAGAATTCTAAAGCTGGATTCGTTACAGAGCTTCTTAGCTGTGATTTATCAGTGGTCCTAGAAATATTTAATGGAGCCATAATTCAAACCCAGGCCTTGTGACTATCAAAATTCAATGCTTTTCCCTTTAAGTTATCCTGTGTCTTGCTGTATGTTGACAATTTTCTTGCATTCCATTTAACCATGGGCAAAAAAAGGAAAGGAAAAAGAAACCTAAGAAGAAAAGCCAATCTAGCAATGGATTATCAAGCAAAAAAAGTGAGAGTTTAAAAGGAAGGAAGCTTTGGCACCTTGAAGGCAAGCTAAAAGTTTTCAGGGCATTAAAGGAAATAAAAATCTGGTGCAAGTACAGATGTTGGGTTAGGTACACAGTAGGCACAAATGTATTTTTAAGGAGAATAATTACCAGCATAGAACTTAAAAATTTGTAGTGCTTTAATATAAATTAACTTGCTTGAGTGTTAAAATAATTCCATGAAGTAGGTATTGTTATCTTCCCTTTAATGATGTATTAAGTGCCACACCTGTGGTCACACAGCTAGTAAGTATTAAAAAGCAGCATCTGAACACAGGTCTTTCTGACTCTGACTATGCTACCTCATGAGGGCTTGAAAATAGAGCCGGATAATGAACAATTACAAGTATCTGAAAAAGGACTGGTTGTTTTTTTAAAATTTATTACTTTTTTAAAAAACAGCATTTATATAGTTATCTCTGCCCCCACTCTCCTTTGTAACAAAAACAGTTAAGCAAGTGAAATTGACACACTTCCACACCCCAAAACCCCATCAACCTGTGAAAAAACGTTTCATCAGTCTTCTGATTAATATTAGTTATTTACCTTAACTTTAATTTTTTTAAATACTTTCCATGAAACATCTCTCTTGATGCTGCTTTCTTCACTCTACATAAGTTCATACGAATCTTCCCTAGTTCTTCCACAAAAAGTGCCCACATGGGGCTTTCCCTCACCTCAATCCCTCTTTGACCTCATTGTTACATGCCTTATAGTAAACAGACAGATGAGTCAAAGGGTTCAAATAGTTTAGTGACTTTTCTTGAGAAGTTCCAAATTTTGTTGTAATGGTTGGACCAGTGCAAATCTCTACCATGAGTATGTATTAAGTGCTCCTGTCTTAAACAGCATTGCTGGCTTTTTTTTTTTGTTTGCCAATTTAATGTGAGGTGAAACCAGTATTGTTAATGTTCACTTCTCTTTGTGATTTCCTGTAATATTTTGTTTGTTAACTGCATTTCTTAATTCTGAAGGCCATTTGTTCCTATATTTTGAACACTTAGCTAGGAAATGGTTCTTATTCTCATATTTTTGTATCACTTTCCTATAGCAGATTTTATTCTGTTATTCGATTAAACTATTTTTCCCAATCTAGTTTCTTTTGGTTTTGTTTGTACACATGTGTTTTAATTTTATACCTCTATTCTTTGGTTTATAATTCTCCTACTTATAACTGTGAAACCTTTCATTCTCCTGATCTCACCCCATTGTGTGGGTGTCGTTTTTTTTTTAAACAGGCTGAGAATCCATTTGGAACTTACTGTAGAAATAAATGCTGATCTAAACATTTTCCGCCAAACACGTGATCAGTTTTCCTAGTAGTTTTTGTCAAATAAGGAGGGTCATGGTTTTAAAAGTATGTACTGAATGGATGACTAGCATCAACTTTAAAAGTTACTACCAGAGTGGTTAAGTGGTGTTAAGGTGGAATTGAAGCAACTCCTTCCGCAAGAGAGAAAAGAAGTAGAGCTGTGACCCTGGAAGGAAATGTATGAGGCAGCAGTGGGCCTATATCATAAGACCTGGAAAGAAAGGTTCATTCTGGTTTTGGGAGTTTACAATTAATGAAGTGGTTTTGGAAAAATTACAATGCTCGATGTCCAGTTTCAAGTAGCATGCTTTCCACATCAAGCCTGCTGTTCTCAACATAGGGCTGGTACAACCACACAGATAAGTAGCTTAAAATGAGATCCTGGTTCGTAGCATGGGCGAGCTCTTCCACAATGATGCGTTTGAGGAGTATTTCCTTCTTGTACATTTCTGAAAGCTTATGGGAAACTTCATCTGAAATACATGGAAAATGACTAGAAGGAAGTGTCAACTCATGTAGAACGAAAAAAGTTCATATTTATTTCGTGCTTTATAGTTCACAAAATATTTTCCCCCCACAGTCCTGCTTATCCCTACCTTAGAAATAGGGAAATGTAGGCTCAGAAAGCTTAGATTACTTGTCCAAGGTCACTGATAATAATAATATTAAGAATGGCTAGCATTTATGTAAGGGTTTAAGATTTGTGAGACTATTACAAACACAATCTCCTTCTTGAGCCCTTTATACTGTATTACATTGTGTGTACAGTATCTTTCCCTACACCAAAGGTGTTAAACTGGTCCCAACCAAATTAAAATGTGACTAGGAAATACTTAACAAAATAAATAAAAATACCACATAATGTTAACTTGTGGCTTTCTAAGTCAATATGCAGCCTAAAGGAGGGATCCAAAGGGATTAATTTCTATTTGAGTTTGACACCATTGCTCTACACTATTTTAGTGATAGCAGCGTTCACAAGGGTTGAATATCTAATACTCATCTCTCTCCACACCCACTGCCAATTAAAAATGACCAATAAAAACCTTAAACTCTGTCCAAACCAGAACTCATTATTTCCCCCCCTAAATGTACTACTCTTCCTGTCTTCTCTATTTTGGTTGAAGGTATGACCATCCTTCCCAAGTTTTCAACCTCAGAGTCATCCTTGACTGCTCATCCAGTTGTTTTGTTGTTCAATTGTTTTTCATATTTGACTCTTTAAAATGACCCCATCTGGGGTCATATGTGACCCCAAATGGGATTTTTTTGGCAAAGATGCTGGAGTGATTTGTATTTTCTTCTCCAGCTCATGTTACAGATGAGGAAACTGAGGCAAACAGTGCTAAGTGACTTGCTCACAGTTATACAACTAAGTAAATGTCTGAGGTCAGATTTGAACTCAGAAGTGCGCGTGCGTGCGTGCGTAGGTGTGTGTGTGTGTTTCTGTTCTCCCACTCATTCCTATGTCTGGTTAGTTGCTAAGTACTCTCCATTTTATTTCTGCAATAGCTCCTGGATCCATTGCTTTCTCCCTGCTCTATCCTAGTCCTGGCCTTCCTCATCTCTTGCCTGGACTACTGTAGTATCTAACTGGTCTCCCTATTACCTAAAGTATAGGTTTAACTATCAAGAGGCAGCCTACTATAAGTGGGTAAGAATACTGTTCAAATCCCACCTCTGATACGGATTAGGTGTATAACGTGTAAGTCATTAACCTCGAAGTGTCAGTTGGGGTGGGGTTGGATTAGATAGATGCTTCTCTTTTACTTCTAAGCTATGGTTGTTTATCATTCTCTTGCTCAATTTTGCTTCTAGAATAAAGCCCTTTCCAATGTGGGTTCAGTTTACCTGTGTAGGCTTTTCACATTATGCACTCTTATGTTCTGGTTAAATGGGCCAACCTGATGGTTCCTTGAACCTTTCATTCAATAACCTGCCTGGAATGCTCTCCTTTCTTTTTTTCTTTTCTTTTTTTTAAGGCAATTGGGGTTAAGTGACTTGCCCAGGGTCACACAGCTAGTGTCAAGTGTTTGGTCTGAGGCCGGATTTGGACTCGAGTCCTCCAGACTTCAGGGCCAATGCTCTATCCACTGCACCATCTAGCTGCTCAATGCTCTCCTTCAGATGAAGGACACACTCTTGGAATCCCTAGCTACTTTTAGAACACTTCCTACCTAAATACTTTACTAAGTTGCCCCTGAAATAACCTCACATTTACTTATTTGTGTGTCTGTCATATCCATCCACTAGAATGTAAGCTTTTTGAGGGCAGGGACTATAAAGACAAAGTAATACCACCCCCCACACCCGAAGCATAGGTCCTTGCATATAAAAGTGCTTAATGTCACAAAAGGTTGTGCTTTTGTGCTCAATTGTCACAACAACCCTATGAAGACAGGTACTTAAGATATTGGATAGAGCACTGGGCCTGGAGTCAGGAAAACTCATCTTCCTGAGTTCAGATCTGGCCTCAAGACACTAGCTGTGTGACCCTGGGCAAGTCACTTAACCCTGTTTTTCCTCAGTTTCCTCATCTCTAATGACCCAAATGGAGTCACAGAGAATCATACATGACTGAAATGACTGCACAATAACTTCATATATTATCCTTATTTTGCAGATAAGGAAATGGGCTCAGAGTTAAGCGACTTGCCCTTAGTCTTACAACTAAGAAATGACAGAGGCAGAAAGAGACTACTGAATTTTTCAATTGAATTGAAATTGGCCTATCCAACTGCAAGTTCAGTACTTTATCCCCCATATGAAGTGATAGAACTGGAAGCTATATTGTAGCATTTTGACTCCAAATCCAGTGTTTTTGGCATCAGTCCAAATGATTAAAACTTAATAGCACTGTGAAGAGACCCTCCTTGGGTAATCAGATGCATAATTTGAATTGGTTCATGCAGTTGAGGAATACACATGCATGTGCACATACATACCTACACATATAGCTACATATATATATATATATATATATATATACACACATATGAATATGATTCAATAATAAAGGAAAAATTTTCAATGTAAACCTAGAGTTACTGGCAGTAAACTCATGCCGAAAAAAAAAAATCCCATCAGTTTAAAGAAAACAAAAGGACCAAATCAGCACCTAAAAATGGTTCTCTTTGGAATTATTTCCCAGATGAACTCATTCACAGTTCAACACGGAGAGGTGAAACTTCGTATGGTTGTTGTGAAGAATGTTCTTTCTAAAAATGTCAGCTATGTTCATCAGTAATTTTTAGGCAATGAAGATATTCAATTAAGAATTATTCCTTTCAAGCTGGCCCCTCTTCTCTCTAAGGACAGAAATCATCCTTAGAATTTAATTTCAAAGCCCAATATACTGAAAACTATTTCGCAATTGTAACCTAACATGGGCCCAATCTTATTTCTTCTCTCTTTCATGCCTCAGAAATCAGCAATTTTAGGTTACTTACAGAAGTAGGCAGTGGGCCATGTATGGAAAAGAGGTGTTTGATAATTTCCATTTCCACGATGGTAATTTTCTAGGTTACAAATTCCTTTAGTGGTTGATGTTAGCATTTCCATTTTCACCTGTACCTTAGCCTGGGGAAGACAATTGTTTTTTAGAATCTGAGCATCTTAATTTGAAATTTACTTTTAATCTCACATCAGTAACTAAGTTAAAGCTTAAATAGCTTGAGATTACATTTCTAATTCATAAATTTAAATTAGGTCTTTTTAACATTGGGTTTTAAAGCTGACATATGCAATATAGGTAGGAGGAAGAGTCTCCCTCCTCTAACACGAAATCACAGCTTCTCTTCCTCATCGTGCTAAGCGCAGATGATAGACCACAAGAGGTTTTACACCAGCAAATCTAGGGGAAGAAAGTCTGAGGACATTAGCATAGAAACAGGTCCTGAATCACATCTATGTAATGGAACAACTGTTATATGGTAGGCTAGACCTTAAGAGAGAATTTTGTTTTGTTTCTCTTTAACGTAATATTGTGTAGGATTGCTATCTATGTTCTTATCTTCCTAAAATGTGATCTCCATAAAGGCAGATAGTGAGCCTACCAAAATGCTCAGCACACAAAAGGTACTGAATAAATGAATAGTGACCCTGGGACATCATGTTAAAACTCTATTTAGCATTCTGGCTAATAAGGCAGGTTAAAATGTAATACTATTTATGAAATCCTGTTTCAATACCTCATTGTGCCATGGAGATGACTCTTCCCTTTAGAATCTGGCTGAAAAGTAGAATGGAAATTTTGGTAGGACCTAGTAATCTTGAAAATCTTCAAACAGAAGGCTGTATGTCTCATCCTCAAATCAGTTTAGTCACATTTGAGGAGGCTCATAAACAGAATCCATCAGGTGGTGGATTTTTGGGAGACATGCTAATTCCTATCTTGAAGAGATTATGATCTACATAGAAGGATGGAGTACTCAAAATGACATTGCAGATGCCTAAAGTATTGAAATTAATAAGCACTACACTATAGAAAGATTTCTAACCAAAATGGTTAAATAAAAGCTAAAACAAATAAAACATCATATTTAGACATTTCAAGGAATAAGCTTCCAAATTTATGTAGAGTTTATCCTTTGAATACATCAGGTAGATGAGGAATTAACCGATATTAATTGGACTAACACTTTAGTTAATAAACTTGGGAGGGTGATCTCAGCTTTAGACTCTTACCAAGTTTTCCAAGGTGTCATGAAGTTCCTTGCACAACATCTCAAGTTCCTCATTATATTTTGGATACACCTTTTGAGAATGAAAGCCAGAAGCAATGCTATTGCATTCTAGTTCTACCTTGTCTTCAGTACTACATAAACACAGAAAGCAACAAGAATATAAAACATTTTAATACACTACTCAGTAGAGTGAATACTAGAAAACCAAAACCACAAATAACATCCCAGAGTTAAAGGGACCTTTTAAGTTATCTAGTCTAAACTACATCTGAAACAAGCTTGTTTATAGTATAAATGATGGGGCACACATAGGATAAGGATTTAGAGCTGGAAGGGACCTAAGACATGATTCTAACTCCACACTTTTTAGATGAGGAAACAGAGGCCCAGAAAGATTTAGTGCTTTGTCTAATGTCATGAAAGTAGCAGAGTAGGGATTTGGGCTCAACTTCTTTGATTCCTTTCCATGACAGCTTGTTGCTATCCAGCTTTGGCTTGAACACCTGGAGCAACAAAAGAGTCATTCATGCAGCATCCCTTTTCACTGCTGTAATGAAAAATGCCTCTTTGTGTCTTTCAACTATTATTCCTACTTAACAAGTATTCTGTGACCAAGCCGAACCTATCTAAACCATCTATTTATGCAAATATCTCGTAAATTTGTATGTTGCTTTATAGTTATTATATTTTAAAATTATAAATATTTAATTTTCATTCACATTCCAGTTATGGAATTATTCACATTCCACTTCTCACATGTTCTACCTGCTGCACAAGATGGACAATGTTTTACGTTAATAAAGTACGCTGATTTATTTGTTGTACAATGAACCTACCTATAGTTACTTTTGAATAAAATGGAATTGATCATTTCTATCTTTGTCAAAAATCAAAAGACCAACTACTCTACCTAATCACTCATTGAAAAAAGTTCATAATGGGGGAAATGTGAAATGAACTACTTGTGTTTTGAACTTTACATATACTCACAGTGCACTGATTTTGATGTTTCCTATTTTGTTTGCAACAGAAAACCCCATATTGTTGAGAGTCTCCCATTTCAGTAATAAATTGTGCCAATCTGCAGCATTGTCCTTAATTTTTCTTGCGCTGACAGATAAGACAGTTCTTTTGGGAGTAACCAGGCCAGAGTTCTTCACTATGTAAAGGAAGGGACAGAAAAAAAATCATGTTTCACTTTTATTAAAAGGGAGAAGAAATCTGTCAGACTGGAAATACTTTTACAAGTTCTTCTTTCACAGAATGTCAGAGCTGGAAGGGGCTTAACAGAATTAAACCTACTGAATCTGAAGAAATCTCAGACACAGAACATGAAATGTTAGAGCTCGCAGGATCTTTGAATCAAAGACCACCGATTGGTAAAGCTGGAAAAGGCCTGAGAATTGTCAAAAATGAATGTTAGATGTGGAAGGGACAACAACAGAATCACAGAATATAACCACTCATCTTTATGTAGCACCTTAAACTTCTCTGAGGTTTATAAAACACTGTGAGAGGCCTTGTAATCACTGAAAATATAATGAAACTATTCTAGACTCATAAACCCAACATAAATGGCTTGGAAGTGCTTTAGGGTTACTTACACTTAGCTTACAACAACCTAGTAAAGGCTCTGAGAGGTGATGTTACTTGCCTGAGATAACAAGCCTGGTAACTGGTAGAGCTCCATGCCCAAGAGACAACAAGGTGGTGCAGTGGCCACAGCACTTTGGTAACTAAACCACTGGGAATCCCTGTCAATGGCGAAAGCCTTAGTTTAGTGGACAGAGTGCTGGTGTGGAGTCAGGAAGACTTGAATTCAAATCCAAATTTAGATACTTACTACCTGTGTAACCCTGCATATGTCACATCACCTCTGCCTGCTTTAGTTTTCTCAACTGTGAAATGGGGATAATAATAGCACCTTCCTCCCAAGGTTTTAAGGATCAAATTAAATATTTGCAAAATGCTTGGCACATAGTAGGTGCTTAATACTCCCTTTCTTCCTTAATGCTGAAAAGAGGTCACCTATGTGACCTTGTACATGTCAATTCAATTCTCTTGACCTTGTTAATTAATCTGTAAAATTAAAGGCTGGTCTGATGACCGAGCACTGATAGATAGGAAAAAAGAAACCTAACTGGGGGAGTGCAGGGCATGTGCCCTGCTCCCAGTGCCTTCGTTTGGGCAAGTCCTTCCCCCTCTCTGAGCCTCAGGGTTTCCAAGTGTTACAATGAGTTTAATTTTCTCAACTCCAGATTCTAGATGATCCCTTCCAGCTCAACACATCTGGTCCTATGTGGTAATATCAGGAAAGAGCAGGGCCTGGCAGTGGCAGGAGGCGGGAACATAGTACAGTGCCCAAGGATGGAAACAGGGCCAAGACAGAGCCCCAGGGGAGGAAGCACTGGAGTAGAAGCATTCCAGGTGTGTTAGGACAGCAGTTTCCTGACATGGCTTTTCTTAACCTCATTCAACTTCCTCCCCACACACAATCCTCACACAACTTCCTACAGCCTGTTTTCCTAGTGGCTTCCCTGTTAAAGCTTCCTCCTGGTAAAACCTAATTGGCCCCATTTTCTCTGATGCAGCTTCTTGGCCTAAGGCCAATAAAATGCCCAAGTCAAAGTAGACTCCAGTCCTCTCAGACCTGTTGAGTGCTGAGACCATGTGACTGATCATCTGACTCTCATGACTGACTACCTAATGACTGGCTGAACAGATTCTTTTTCAGATAGAGATGAAGAAGGCCAGGTCAGGAAAGCAAAATGCCACTGTACTTTTGTTGTGTATCCTTACTGTGTTAGGACAAAGTAAGCCTCATTCTTTATTAAATGTTCAACGATTTACTAGTGCCTCATTTCATCCCTGCCCACTGAACCTGAACTAAGAGAGTGCTGGCTTTTAGAGCTGTGCCTATAACACCAGGGGAACCCCTGAACCCTAAAATGCTAATGCAGAAATGGGTGTCATATGGCAGTTCTGTAGCCAACTGCCTAAAGTTCTGGGTCACAGATCCAGAGTAGAAAGGAGCAACTGTGAGCAAATAGGGGTCCTGGCTGAGTAATGAGGAAAAAATAAGTTTCTGATACATAGCTGTGTGGCTCTGAGCCTAGGAGCAAAATAGCAACTCAGTTCTAACCTTTCAGCCCAGCGTGTAAGCCTGCAGTGGAATAACCAGAGCAAGAATCCCAGAACAAAAAGGGGCCAGTCACTTTGAACCTCCAGAACCTCCCATGAGCTAACAATGACTAAGTCTAGGAGCGGTCTACTGAAACTCAACAAACATACAAACTGGGCAAGGAAGAGCTCAGACCAGGAGTGAAGCGAATAGGCCTCTCCCTGAATTCTGGGAGCACTAAAAACTTGCAGGTCTCCAGATTGAGTTATGAAAGCAGTAGAAGGCCATAAGAGGACAAAAGAATATAAAGGGCATAAAAGAAGCTCAGGGCAGACCATTCTTTTTTTTTTTTTAAGGCATTTGGGGTTAAGTGACTTGCCCAGGGTCACATAGCTAGTAAGTGTCAAGTGTTCGGTCTGAGGCCAGATTTGAAGTCCTCCTGACTTCAGGGCAGGTGTTCTATCCACTGCACCACCTAGCTGCCCCTAAGGGCAGACCATTCTTCCCTCCTGCTAAATGTGCAGAGCCCAGTACTATCACAAATTCCAAAGTCAAGCAGTAGGCTGGATTGGTGAGCAAACAAAGAACCTAACAAAAGAGCTACTATAATAATAGGGAAGCTTAAGACACAAATGCAGAAGAAATGACTTGAATATATCTACAAGCAAAGCCTCTAAAAAAAATTGCAGAATGGACAAAAGCCCCAAAAAGAATTCCTAGCAGAAAGAGCATAGGAATAAATGCAGTCTTCCTTAAAATGACAGGTAGCACTTATCTAAAACCATCAGCAAGCATTATATGTAATGGGGATAAGCTAGAAGCATTTTCAATAAGATTGGGGGTGAAACAATGACCTCCATTATCACCACTGTTATTCAATATTGTACTAGAAATGTTAGCTTTAGCAATAAGAGAAGAAAAACAAATGGAAGGAATTTGAATGGGCAAAGAAGAAACAAAGCTATCAGTCTTTGCAGATGATATGACAGTATACTTAGAGAATCCTAGAAAATCAAGTAAAAAATTACTTGAAATAATGAACTTTAGCAAAGTTGCAGGACATAAAATAAACCCACATAAATCATAGGCATTTCTATATATAACTAACAATGCCCAATAGCAAGAGATAGAAAGAGAAATTTCATTTAAAGTTGCCGTAGCTAGAATTGGGCAAACAGAATCATTACATGAAACATGAAATAATAAAACAATACTTCTGGAGCCCAGATGGTGGAGTGAGGCCTCCAAAGAAACCTCAGAATAACATCTCAAAATCAATTTTGGAGCAGCAAAACACTGGGTTGGGTCTTGTGTGTGTCAGAGGCAGGCCATACCCAGAGGGCCAGCAATGAGGCCCCACTCTGGTTTAAGCCAGAAGTCTCAAATCAGTTACAACCAGAAGCTAACACAAGCCAGCAATCAAGCCTGAGATCTTGTGCAAATGAGCAGCAATGCCCTGCCCCTAGTGTAAACCAGCAGTGAAGTCCCATCCCCAGTGCAATCCAGCAGCTAGGCCCTGAGCCCTGGCACAAGAAACTTGGAACAATGCCCTTTTCAATCCACGAACAGAGCTCAACTCCACCATAAAGTTAAAAGTTACAAAATAGCTGGAAAAGGGCAGATAGGTGGCGCAGTGGATAGAGCACCAGCCTTGGAGTCAGGAGGATCTGAGTTCAAATCTAGCCTCAAACACTTGACACTTACTAGTTGTCTGACTCTGGGCAAGTCACTTAACCTCAATTGCCTCACAAAAAACAAACAAAGCTGGAAAAATGAGCAAAACTAAACCAAAACCAAAACCAAACAACAATAACAACCATAGAAAGTTACTATGGTGACAGGGCTGATCAACACACAAAATTAGAAGAGAACAACAATGTCAAAATGTCTACATGCAAAGCCTCAAAGAAAAATGTGAATTGGCATCAGGGGTCCAAAAAAGAATTTCTGGAAGAGCTGAAAAAAGATTTTAAAAATCAACCAAGAGAGCTAGAAGAAAAATTGGGAAAATGAGAGTAATGTAAGAGAATCATGAGAAAAGAGTCAACAGCTAGGTAAAGGAAGCACAAAAAAAATGGAAAAAGATAAGACAAAAGTAACCAAGGAAAACTCCTTAAAAAGTAGAACTGGCCAAATGGAAAAGAAGGTACAAAAGCTCACTGAAGAAAATAATTCTTTAAAAATTAGAGTTGGACAAGTGTACCTAATGAATCCATGAGACATCAAGAAACAAGTAAACAAAACCAAAAGAATGAAAAAATAGAAGAAAATGTAAAATTTCTCATTGGAAATATGACTGACCTGGAAAACAGATGAAGGAGAGATAATTTAAGAATTATTAGACTACCTAGAAGCCATGATAAAAAAAAAAGAGCCTGGACATCATAGTTCAAGAAATTATCAAGGAAAACTGCCCTGATACCCTAGAACCAGAGGGTAAAATAGATTCTTTAAATCTACCAATCACTTCCTAAAAGAGATCCCAAAAGAAAAATTCCCAGGAATATCACAGCCAAATTCCAGAGCTCCTAGGCCAAGAATGAAATACTATAAACAATCAGAAAGAAGCAATTCTTTGGATTTAGCAGCTTCTACATTAAATGATCACAGGGCTTGGGATATCACATTCTGAAAGGCAAAGAAGCTAGGATTACAACCAAGAATCCCCTACCCAGTGAAACGGAGTATAATCCTTGTCAAAATGCGTACATGATTTAGACATAAAGAGTGATATCGTAAGCAAATTAGGGGAACATGGAATAGTTTACCAGTTATTTCAATGGATAAAGGAAGAATGTAGGACCAGACAAGAGATGAAGAACGTTGCAAAATGTAAAATGATTAATTTTGATCACATTAAATTAAAAAGGTTTTGCACAAACAAAATCAATGCAACCAAGATTAGCTGGAAAAAGGAAGGCTGGGGAAAATATTCATAGCAAAATCTCTGATAAAGGCCTCATTTTGCAAATATATACAGAACAGAATCAAATTTGTAAGAAGACAAGTCATTTCCCAGTTGATAAATGACCAAAGGATATGAACAGGACGTTTTCAGAGAAAAAAATCAAAACTATCAATAATCATATGAAAAAATGCTCTAATTCGTTGTTGATCAGAGAAATACAAATTAAAACAACTCTGAAGTGCCACTTCACACCTATCAGATTGGCTAATTTAACAGAAAAGGAAAATGATAATATGTGGAGGGGATATGGGAAAATTTTTCCCCCTGAAGGATTGTAATCAGTTTTGTCAGGAAGATTATTCTTGGTCATCATTCTAGATCAGATTATCATATTCCAAGCTCTCCATTCCTTTATAGTAGCCGCTAAATCTTAGGTGATCCTGAGTGTGACTCTAGGCTACTTGAAGTTTTTCTTTCTATCTACCTGTAGACTTAGGTGTGCTGGATTTTGGCTCTAATATTCCTGGGAGTTTTCATTTTGAAAGATGACCAGTGGATTCTTTCATTTTCAAATTTTCCCTTTGGTTCTAATATATCTGGGCAGTTTTATGGTTTCTTAAAATATGAGGCCCTTTTTTTTATTTGTGGCTTTCAGGAAGTCTAATGTTTCTTATTTAGATTTGTTTTTCAGGTCAGTTGTTTTTTCCAATGAGATATGTCACATTATCTTCTACTTTTCAGTCTTTTCATTTTGCTTTATTACTTTTTTCTTTCTTTTTAATAATATTTTTTTCCGCCAATTACATGTAAACAATTTTTTAAAAATTTTGAGTTCCAAATTTTCTCACTCCCTTCATCCCCTCTTGAGTACACACATATAACCAACATCAGATTGTGCACTATCTAAGAAAAGAGATATCTCACTGGAAAAAACAACTGGATTTTTAATGAAATAGAGAACTTTCAAGGGGAAATTCCTGATGAAAAAAAAAAGACCAGAGCTGAGTAGAAAATCTGAAATTCAAACACCCTCCCCTGCTTTTCAGCTTCCTTTTGTGTACTCTTGTCCCCATTAGATTGTAAACTTCTTGACAGCAGAGACTATCTTTTTCTTATTTGCATCCGCAGTGATTAGTCAAGTGCCTGGCACATAAGCAGGCACTTAAGAAATGCTAACTGATTTTTGGCTATGTGGATTTATACCAGAAAGGCAGGCTGATTAAATATTAGGAAAGCTATAAGCATAATTGATCAGATTAATAACAAAAATCACATAATCATTTGAATAGATGATGCTTTGGACAAAATACATTTGTTCCTGTTAAAAACACTAGAAAAAGTGGAATAGAGCTTTCTTTAAAACGATAATAGTATTAATCTAAAACCAAGAGCAAGCATTATTTGTAATTGGGATAAGCTAGAAGCTTTCCTAAGATCAGGGTTCTTGAAAGAAGGATGTCCTTTATCACCATTAGTAGTCAATTTTGTACTAGATAATGCAAGCTATAGCACTAAGCCAAAAAAAGAAATTGAAGGAAAGCATAAGCAAAGAGGAAACAAAATGATTACTTTTTGCCGATGATATGATGGTTTACTTAGAAAGCCCTAGAGAGTCAACTAAAAAACTGAAAAACAACTTCAGCAAAGTTGCAGGATATAAAACAAACAGACACAAATTGTCAGCATTTCTACGGATTATCAACAAAATCTAACAATAAAAGAAAGAAATTTCATTTAAAATAATTACGGAAAGCATAAATAAAATATCTGGAATTCTGCCTGCCAAGACACACACAAGAACTATATGAACACAACTCCAAATCATTCTTTACACAAATACTAGAGAAATATTAATTTCTCATGGGTAGGCCAAGTCAATATGACAAAAATTACCATACTACCTAAATTAATTTACTTATTCAGTGTCATGCTAATCAAACTTCCAAAGAATTACTTTATAAAGCAAGAAAAATAACAAAATTCATCTGGAGGAACAAAAGGCCAAGAATATTAAGGGAATCAATGAAAAAAAGGGGAAGAGAGCCTAGCAGTACCAGATCTCAAACTATACCATAAAGCTGTAATTATCAAAACAATTTGGTATTAAGAAATAGAGAGGCTGATGAGTGCAACAGATGAGGTACACAATATGAGCAAATGAGCATTGTAACCTCCACTCGGATAAACCAAAAGATTTCTGCTATTGGGGCAAGAACTCAGTATTCAGCAAAAATTGTTGGGAAAACACTAAAAGTAGCCTAGTGTAAACCAGGCATGGACCAATAACTCACAGAATATAAAGACAAGCTCAAAATGGGTACATGACTTAGATATAAATGGTGATATCATAAGCCAATTAGTACAGTATGAAGGAAATTATCTATCAGATCAATGGACAGAGGAAGTGTTTATGACCAAACAAGAGACTGAGAGGTTCACAGGAAGTAAAATAGATAATTTTGATAACAAAATTAAAAAGCTTTTGCACAAATGAAATCAATGCAGCTAAAATTAGAAGAAAAGATAGAAATGGTGGGGATCTCCACAGGAAGTTTCTCTGATAAAGATCTCACTTCTAGGATATATAGGAAACTGAATCAAACTTAAAAAAATAAGAGCCAATCTTCAATTGATAAATAGTCAAAGGACATGAATAGGCAGTTTTGTAAACAGCAACATGAAAAAAATGTTTTAAATAATAATTAGAGAAATTCAAATGAAAACAACTCTGAGGTACCACCTCAAACCCATCAGATTGGCTAAGACGGCAACAACGTAAAAGAACAAATATCAGAGGGTCTGTGGAAAAACAAGTACACTAATGCACTGCTGGTGGAGATCTGAAATAGTCCAACCATTCTGGTCTATATGGAAGCAATTTGGAACTATGCCCATAAAGCATATCTTTGGACCAAGTAATACTGATACTAGGTCAATACCCCAAAGAGATCAAATAGACGGACCCATAAGTACACAAATATTTATAGCACCTCTTTCTGTGACAACAAAGAATTGTAAACTGAGGGGATGCCCATCATTTGGGGAGCGGCTGTACAAGCTATGGTATATGGCTAGGATGAAATATTGTAAGAAATGATGAAGGGGATACTTTCAGAAAGACCTGGGAAGCCTTGTATGAACTGATGCAGAGTGGAATGAGCAGAAACAAGAGAACAATTCATACAATCACAGCGATACTTTAAAGACAATTAACTTTGAAAGACTTAATAACTGATCAACACAATGATCACGATTATAAAGGCCTCATGATGAAACATGCCATCCACCTCCAGAGAGGATGAAAGAGCTAATGGACTGAAACACATTTTCCTCTCTTTCTTTTGGACAAGGCAAACGTGAGCATTTGTTTTGTGTGACTACATATTTGTTAAGGATTTCGTTTTTCTTGTCTTCTCAATGGCTGAGGGAGACGAAGGGGGAAAGAAGAGAATTTGAAACTGAAAATAAAATAAAATCGAAGTAAAAAAAACCCCAAAAGCCAACAGTTTAGGCCTTACGGCTAAACTCTAACTTTGCACCACTCACCGTCCATTACTTGAGGCCCGGAGGAAGTTCGAAGTAAGATCCGGAGCCAACCGGAAGCGCGTATGCTCACTTCCGATCTTGACTTTCCCATGTCAATAGCCACTTGCGGCTCTTCGGCTCGCGCTTGCCCCGCCCCGTGCCGGCAGCCTTGACGACTGTTGCTAGCCGGCGCTGACTGGCCCCGCGGCAGTCCCGGGAACGGGCTCCCACAATCCTCTGCGCGCGGGGCTCGTCTTCGTCGTCCCCGCCCACGACGCCTGGCTGGGGAGGACCTGGAGCATGAGGGTCCCAGGTCAGTGTCACCTGAGGGAGGTGAGTCCTGTGGCACCGAGAGGTGGGAGGAGGCCAGAGCGAGCATGGGGCCCCCGGGAGGTGGTGTCCCCGAAGACGGGCTCCCCCAGCTCCCCTACTTGTCCATCCTCACCCCACCGACTCCCTGAGTAACCCTTAGCCCTGTTCTCATCCTCCTCCTCTCTCCTCCAGTCTTACTAGTCACCCCTGACCCCTGCCCCCAGTATATGCAACCCGTTCCCCTCACCCCCCACCTACAGTATAGCCATCCCTGCCCCCCACTCCCCACCCACTGTGTAGCCATACCTGCCCCCTCACTTCTCACCCATAGTATAGCCATCCCTGCCCCCCACTCCCAGTGTAGCCAACCCGGTCCCCTCATTCCCCTTCCTGAGAGTAACCATCCCTCTCCCCTCACCCCCCCACTCAGTGTAGTCATTCTGTCTTCTCACCCTCACTTCTGTGTATCCATCCCTATCCCCTTACTTCCCACTCTCAAAGTAGTCAGTCATCTTTTCTTCTCACTTCCTCACTTGTGTGTAGCCATCCTCGTCCTCTTACCCCTACGTCCAGTATAGCCATCCCTGTACCCTCATCCTCCTTCCCCATGTAGCCATCCCTTCTATGCCCCTACTGTGTTAAGCATATATGTTAGAGGCTGGTTATACAAAGACAAAAATGAAACAGTCCCAACCTCAAGGATTTCTCAAGTCACAATGTATCTTTCTCTGTCCCCTCATTCCCTCTACCATATTAACATATTTATCAGTTCATTTCAACCAAATATGAAGGAGGTTGAGGGATATACAAAACTTAAATGTAACGTGGTTCTCCCTCCAGCAGAGCTCAGAGTCTAATAGGGGTTATGAAACATATATAAACATATTACAAAATAATGAATAATAAATGTATTAGAGAAATAAACAAAACATAAAGTGGGTAGGGGAAGTTATTACCAAAGGGAAGGCTTTTTGGTGTTAGGACATTTTGTTAGACTTTATTTTTAAAAAATAAATTTATTTATTTATTTATTTTTAGTTTTCAATATTCACTTCCATAAGATTTTGAGTTCCAAGTTTTCTCCCCATCTCTCCCCTCCCTCACCCCAAGATGGCATGTAAATTGATATAGGCTCAACATACACATTCATATTAAACCTATTTTCACATTATTCATGTTGTAAGGAAGAATTAGAACTAATGGAAGGAACCACGAGAAGAAGAAACAAAAAGAGAGGGCAAATAATATTCTTCGATCTGCATTCAGACTCTGGATGTGGACAGCATTTTCCATCATGAGTCTTTTGGAGTTGTCTTAGATCCTTTCATTGCTGAAAAGAGCTAAGTCTATTCAAAGTCAGTCATCACACAGTGTGACTATTACTGTGTACAATGTTCTCCTGGTTCTGTTCACTTCATTCAGCATTAGTTCATATAAGTCTTTCTGGGTTTTTCTGAAGTCTGCCTGCTCGTCATTTCTTATAGCACAATAGTATTTCATTACATTCATATACCACAACTTGTTCAGCCATTCCCTAGTTGATGGGCATCTCCTCAATTTCCAATTCTTTGCCACCACAAAAAGAGATGCTATAACTATTTTTGTACATGTGGGTCCTTTTCCCATTTTTATGATCTCTTTGGTATACAGCCCTAGAAGTGGTATTGCTAGGTCAAAGGATATGCACAGTTTGTGTTAGACTTTAAACGATAGAAATGAATTAAGAATACATGAGCAAAAATTTGAGTGGAAGAACATTCTAGGTATGGAAAAGATACATTAATCAAGCATTTAGATCCCGCCTTCAAGAAAATCAAGGATTCCAAGAGGCAGAGATGAGTGAGAACAGCCAATGGAAAGGTATGGAACAGCAGGTATGCCAGTATAACTGGACAGTAGAATGCATGGAGGGGGATGATGGGTAAGAAGCTAATGAAGGTAGTATGGAGACTAGGTTATGAAGAGCAATTCTGTATCCAAAAGGTGAGTTTATATTGGATCTTACAGGTAATAGGTGGCCACTGGAATTTACATGTTCAGACTTGTGCTTTACACTTGGCAGCTGTGTGGGTGATGGATGGGGTGGGGAGACACTTTAGGTAGGAAAGCCAATAAGCAAGCTATTGCAACTGTCCTGGTGAGTGACAGAAAGGAATATATATAATCGATGTGAAATTTGAAACAAGGTTTGGAAACTGATCGGTTGTGTGCAGTAAGTAAGAATGATTTGAATATAACACAGGTTTTGAACCGGAGTAACTGTAACAATGGTGGTGCCCTTGACAGAAAGAGGAAAGTTAGAAAATGAGGTAGGTATAGAGAGCATGGGGAGATGACAAGTTGTTTTAGATAGGCAGAATTTGAGATGCCTATGGGACATCCATTTTAATATGTTTAATAGTCATTTGGTCAGAAGAGAGACTAAGGCTGGATATGTACATCTGGAAATCATCTGTATAAGAAAACTGATGAAATTAACCAAGGAGAGGGTAGAGAGGGAAGAGAAGGAAACCTAGTACACAACTTCAGGATGCACCCACAGTTAGATGTAGTAACATGTTTGATAATCTGGCAAAGGAGACTAAGAAAGAGCAGTCAAACAAGTAAGTGAAGCAAAAGAAAGGTGTCACAAAAACCCAGAGAAGAGGGACTATCCAGAAGAAAAGAGTGGTCAACGATTGTCAGATGTTGCAGAGAGGTCAGAAAAGCGTGGGGATCCAGAAATGGCATTAGGTTTGTTAGTTTGTAGTTTTGGAGAGAGTAGCTTTAATTGAGCGATGAGATTGTAAACCAGAATGCAGAGGGTTTAGAATTGATTTAGTTTCACAAAGATTCTTCTGTACTGTCCTTTTTATTTTAATCCTTGATAAGTTAATAATTTAAAAATAAAATTAATTGAAAAAGTGAGAGGAGAAAGTGGAGGCATCAAGTATAGACAACTTTTTCTAGGACTTTGGCTGAGAAAGGAAGGTAAGCTATAGGACAGTAAGACAATATAGGACATACAGCTGCAAGAGTAATTTTCCTTCAACATTGATTTCCTTAAACATTACTCAGTCAACTCCAGTGACTTTCAGTTGCCTCTAAGACAAAGTATAAACTGCTCTATAAAACTTTTAAACCCTATTCAATATGGCCCCAACCTATCTTTTCATCTTCATTGGACACTACTTTCCCTCTTGTACTCTAAAGTGTGACCAAACTGGGCTTCTTTCTAGTCTTCTAGTCCTCACACATGCCACTTCATTTCCAGATTCTACTTTTGCAGTGTCAGTCCCATATACTTTGGCGGCATTGTAGAGGAAAGAGTAGGGAAGAACTTGAGTCTTGAAGGCCTAAACTAAGGTAGTGGCTGTGTGAGGAAAGAAAGGTAATATGGAGGTCTTGCTAAAATAGTGATTTTCTCTGTAAATGAACATCTGACCATGTGACTGCCCTATTTAATAAACTCTACATATAAAGAATAAAAATAAATATATAAATAACAAATATTATATAATATAATTATGTAACATAATAATATAACATTCATAATAATATAATACAATGCAGAATGATATTATATAATACATAATAAATAATATATAATATAAATATAAATAAATAAATAAAAATATATGTCTGTAGGTATATATTTATGTCCCATATGAATGTAGGCCTCTTGCTGGCCTTGGTGGCAAATACCTCTAATCCCAGCTACTAGCGACACAGAAGCTGGTGGGCATAAAATTGATGAAGACTTTATTTTTCTTTTTCCAATACATTTTTATTTTATTAAATATTTCCCAGTTACATATAAAAAATTCAACATTCTTTTCACAATTTTTTTTTTTTTTTTTTTTTTAGGGAATTGGGGTTAAGTGACTTGCCCAGGGTCACACAGCTAGTGTCAAGTGTTTGGTCTGAGGCCAGATTTGAACTCAGGTCCTCCTGACTTCAGGGCCAGTGCTCTATTCACTGCGCCACCTAGCTGCCCCTTCTTTTTACAATTTTTTGCATTCCAAATTCACTTCCTCCCACCTATCCCCTACCCTCTGGTGAAGACAAGCAATCTATCATATTATACATGTAAAATCATACAAAACATATTTCTGTATTAGATAGGTTGCAAAAGAAAACACACACAGAAAAAACCCAAGAAAAACAAATAAAGGAAAGAAGCGTGCTTCAGTCTTCACTGAGTTCCTCTTAGTTCTGTCTCTGGAGGTGGATAATGTTTTTCATCATGAGCCCTTTGGAATTGTCTTGAATCATTGTCTTGATCAGAGTAGCTAAGTATTTCACATTTGATCATCCTTACAATGTTTCTGTTACTGTGTATAATGTTCTCTTGGTTCTGCTCGCTTCACTTTGCATCAGTTCGTATAAATGTTCCCACATTTTGAATGAAGAACTTTCTAAGGAAAGTGAGAAATAGCTGTTGGACAGGTAGGAGAAAGAATAAGGAAAAAGTATCAAAAAGTGGGTGGTCAGCAATGTTAGACACTGCAGAGAACTGAAGATCTGGATTGAGAAAAAGCCATTAGATATTAATTAAGAGATAATTGGTAACTTTACAGAGGGCAGTTTCAGCTGAATAATGAAGTTGGATGCCAGATTGTACAGGGTTTAGAGGAGAATCTGAGGTTGTGGAAGTATAGAGTATAGATGGCTTTCTCAAGGAGTTTATCTGTGGAGAGGAAAGATATAGGAAGATAGCCAGAGTGAATAGTAGGTTCAAGTAAAGGGTTTTTTTAAGGATGGGGGAGATGTGGGAGTGTTTGTCAGCTGTAAGAAAGGAGCCTGT